GTTTACAATTATAAAAACAGTTAATGAGCTCCAAAGCACCAGGAGGCTGTTTATAACAATAACAACAGTGTATTGGGAAGTTTTCATACTTGTCACCTGTTTAATAAATGTAACCAAAGCAATCGATAATAAATGTAACCAAAGCAATCAAAGATTGAGGAAAGATGTACACGTTGTAAGTACTTGCGTAACTGCTTCGTGTATCTTGCCCCAGGTGAATAGCTGATAAAACAATCATATGTTAAGCAATATTTCTTCTAATTTTGAATTTGTACCATGAATTTTAATAATGAGACTAAATATGAGAACCTGTAACTTAGTGATGTTACCTCTACCCTAAATAATTGCCAAATAACAGAATAATGCATGAATTTAATGTTAATAATCACTCTGCATCTGTGGAAATAAAGAGGAATTTATTTTGTTTTTTATTTCTGTGGGGAGCCCCTTCAGCTCCCTGGAGCTGTCGAGCTAATATGCGAATCATTAAACCAGGGAATTAGTCTATAGAGTTCTGCCTATCAGGGATCACTAGCTTAAACATGGCCTCCTCGGAGAGGCACGTGAATCAATGGCCCTGGAAAATCCCCCCTGTGGTTGGGGATTAACCTTATCTGCCATTGACATTGGTAAAGAATGAGGCAGGCACCCAGAAATGTAGGCATAGCAAAACAGACTCCACATGGTAAGAAAATTACAACCAAAAGTCGAACAGAGAGGTAGAACCACAATTTCCAAGGAAACAAGCAAACGTCACACCCCATTGCCGCATCGCTCGTCCGCACAGCTCCCCCCTCCCCATCCCTCTCCTAGGGGGTGGGGGGGCTCCAAATTCCCCGCGCTCGCGACACAGCCATTCCAGTTCGTGAGCTAATGCAAGCCGGGACGGACGGCTTCTCCTGGCCTCGCTTTCTGAGTAGCGTTTGCCTTCGTGGTGTCCTCTGCTCTGTCGTTGTGTGTGATGGCCAGGTGTCCTCAAGAGTGCCGGGGCTGCATGTGCTTAGGGGTATCCTTCCCTAAGCGCCCTTTGAGTGCAACCCTTGCGTGTTAGGGTTTTCTTCCCTGGTGCATTCGGGAACCGATTCTGTGGGGGTTTTTGCTGCTCGGCACTTACTCCGTCCTTGGCGCCAGTTGGCACCTGCAGTCTATCCTCATGCCCATGAAGTTAGGAATTTTGCTGTGTTGTCTTCTGTGTTTGGCAACATGTCGTGGGCTGATATTTCGGGCACGGGGATTTATGGAGGTCGGAAAGGGTCCTGGCTCCCGTTATTTGGATAACATTCCTGCTCCTGGGCGTTCCTGTGTTGCTTTGGGTCGCAGGCTTCAGCCAGTTGTCTCGACTTTGCGTTGAGGAGTATGTGATGGCCTTTTCCGGGGTAAGTCCTTATCCTTATCTTTGGGTATGTAGCTCCAGGAAGCTGTAGGGTATCCCCACAGAAAACCAGCATTGTGTCGAGTTGCAGCCAGTTTCAGCCAGTTATCTCGACTTTGCGTTGAGGAGTATATGTCAACTTCCTCCCAGGTAGGTCCCGCGTTTCCTTATCTTTGGGTATGTAGCTCCAGGGAGCCATAGCGTTTCCCCACAGAAAACTAGCATTGACTGTAATTAATCAATTAAACTCCATTTTTTGGGTGAGCCCAGTGGGTCCCTGGCAACCCTTCCCTTCCTCTGGTTGGCGGTTTTTCGCGTTGTTTAATGCTTAGCTTCCAAACTGGAGTGCTAGGTAGCCGGCACAGGGAGGGGAGCGCTGCGCGGACGAACGTCGTGGCGGTGGAGTGTGACGTTTGCTTGTTTATTTGGGATTGGAGGGAGTTCTGCCTCTCTTTTCGGGTTTTAGTTCAGTTTTTAGTTTAGTTAACTCCATAGACTAATGCCCTAGTCTAATATACCACACATTAGTCCAATAGCTCCAGAGAGCCTCTGGGGCTCATCCAGAAAATGGCGTTTCATTACATTCAACGCTGTTTTTTTATTTTGTTTTCTCAGGTGGACTATGGGCGTGTACTTGCTGAAATTGTGAGTGATGCTAGATGTACAGCATGGGCAGCTATTAGAGAAGCACTCCTGATTGGTGAAGAAATCCATGTCAAGAAGATACTTTTAGCATGGAACAAGCTTGTCTCTGCCCATAATGAGAGTATGTTTTGCTTTTTGTGCCTATTAGTTAATTTAATTAATTGATTAGGAATCTATATAATTTCCTGGGCATGGGCAGAAGTTTTACAGAATTACTTGCTCATTTTGTGATCAGGAGTGTGTGCTCTGTGCACATGTGAGCAGGAGTGTGCTCTGTGCACATTTTGTGAGCAGGAGTGTATGCTCTGTGAACATCTTGTGAACAGGAGTGCACATCTTGTGAACAGGAGTGCACATCTTGTGAACAGGAGTGCACATCTTGTGAACAGGAGTGCACATCTTGTGAACAGGAGTGCACATCTTGTGAACAGGAGTGCACATCTTGTGAACAGGAGTGCACATCTTGTGAACAGGAGTGCACATCTTGTGAACAGGAGTGCACATCTTGTGAGCAGGAGTGCACATCTTGTGAGCAGGAGTGCACATCTTGTGAGCAGGAGTGCACATCTTGCGAGCAGGAGTGCACATCTTGCGAGCAGGAGTGCACATCTTGCGAGCAGGAGTGCACATCTTGTGAGCAGGAGTGCACATCTTGTGAGCAGGAGTGCACATCTTGTGAGCAGGAGTGCACATCTTGTGAGCAGGAGTGCACATCTTGTGAGCAGGAGTGCACATCTTGTGAGCAGGAGTGCACATCTTGTGAGCAGGAGTGCACATCTTGTGAGCAGGAGTGCACATCTTGTGAGCAGCACATCTTGTGAGCAGGAGTGCACATCTTGTGAGCAGGAGTGCACATCTTGTGAGCAGGAGTGCACATCTTGTGAGCAGGAGTGCACATCTTGTGAGCAGGAGTGCACATCTTGTGAGCAGGAATGCACATCTTGTGAGCAGGAGTGTGCTCTGTGCACATATCATGCCTTCCTCTTTCCTTTTTTGTTTGTATTATTACTTCCTTTTGTGTAGATCTTGCCTAGGGTCTTGGAATAACACACATGTACTTCTTGGCTTTATTACTTGAGGTAGAATAAATATCAGCACACCAAGGTTCTGTACGTCCTGCCTCTAGCTCGGTCTGAGAGGAACTCACTGGCTTACTAGAAAAGGCGGCTACTGCGCACTCTGAGGAATGACGTCATGAGGTTCTCTGGCCACCGGATTGGCTGCTTTATTTCATGTGATTTATAGATTTATACAAACAGAACTGCCAAAGATATTTTTTGTGTGTGTTTAGTAATTGAAGCATATTACCAAATACAAATTATTACTTTCTCTATGGATTTGTTTTACATGACACATGATATTGGAATGATTAGGGTTCTGTTGATCCATTTATACATTTTAGCTATATGTTCCTGACTTTACATTTGGCCCACTCCAGAAATGAAAAGAACAACATCTGAGGAGACGGCTCACTTTCATCACCAATGTAACCTCTTGATGGCTCTTCTTGAGACAGTCGTAGCCATTAAAGTGAAAACAGGCACCAAGACTATTTCCCATAAGGTAAGCATACATAAAAAAATTTTCTTTTCATATAGTCAATGGTGTATTTTCATCACCCCCCCCAATCCCCCCCACCCCATCCTGTCCCCTTTTTTTAGGTGAGAAGATGCAGTAATCAGGACAGAAGAAACAGAAGGACAGCATAGAATAATAATAATACTAACTGAAAGTCACCTGTAAGAAAGAGCAGTGATCTGAACAAAGAGGGATGTGTATTTGTTTCTTCCTTCAGGGTCTGTGTTGTCTTTGTTGGGGGGTTCAGGATGGACCAGCCAACTGAGCCTGATTTTGCAGGATGCAAGCTTGAGAAATGTACCTCAGTCTTGTGATATGGTTACTGCTTCCACTGCCTATTGGGTTGTTGTTCCCTTTCACCCTGAGGCCTGCAATGTGTCACATCACTTGGTCTCTGCTTAGGCTGAGCCCCCCCGTCTCAAGGAGTTGGGTCTCGTTTCTATGGGTGTTCTGCTTTTAATCCTCTATCCTCTTTTGACACACTCATTCGCCTGACTTCAATATACAAATATTATATATGGCATTTTCCCGCCAAACACACACGGAAACTACGACGTTGGTACAACCTTCGAACAAGTTTTAAACCTAACCAGTTATAACAATAGCAAGTTGTAACAACGTTCTAATAGGTCATAAACACGCTAAACCAAGATGTAACAGCTTTATTACAAGTTGTAACAAGCTGAAAATAGAGACAGTTATGGTTTGTATTTCCAGGGTTCTATGTAATTACCTAAGTGTAGTTACAGGATGAGAGCTACACTCGTGGTGTCCCGTCTTCCCAGCACTCTTTGTCATATAACGCTTTGAAACTACTGACGGTCTTGGCCTCCACCACCTTCTCCCCTAACTTGTTCCATCCATCTACCACACTGTTTGCGAAAGTGAATTTTCTTATATTTCTTCGGCATCTGTGTTTAGCTAGTTTATATCTATGACCTCTTGTTCTTAACGTTCCAGGTCTCAGGAAATCTTCCCTATCGATTTTATCAATTCCTGTTACTATTTTGTATGTAGTGATCATATCACCTCTTTTTCTTCTGTCTTCTAGTTTTGGCATATTTAATGCCTCTAACCTCTCCTCGTAGCTCTTGCCCTTCAGTTCTGGGAGCCACTTAGTAGCATGTCTTTGCACCTTTTCCAGTTTGTTGATGTGCTTCTTAAGATATGGGCACCACACAACTGCTGCATATTCTAGCTTTGGCCTACCAAAAGTCGTGAACAATTTCTTTAGTATATCGCCATCCATGTATTTAAAAGCAATTCTGAAGTTAGAAAGCGTGGCATAGGCTCCTCGCACAATATTCTTTATGTGGTCCTCAGGTGATAGTTTTCTATCTAGAACCACCCCTAGATCTCTTTCTTTATCAGAATTCTTTAAAGATTTCTCACATAATATATAGGTTGTGTGGGGTCTATGTTCTCCTATTCCACATTCCATAACATGGCATTTATTAACATTAAATTCCATTTGCCAAGTGGCGCTCCATGTACTTATTTTGTCCAGGTCTTCTTGAAGGGCATGACAATCATCTAAGTTTCTTATCCTTCATATTATCTTAGCATTGTCAGCAAACATGTTCATATAATTCTGTATACCAACTGGTAGATCATTTATGTAGACAATATTCATCACTGGTGCAAGAACTGAACCCTGTGGTACTCCACTTGTGACATTTCTCCAGTCCGATACATTGCCTCTGATCACAGCCCTCATTTTTCTATCAGTTAGAAAATTTTTCATCCATGTTAGAAGCGTACCTGTCACTCCTCCAATATTTTCCAGTTTCCAGAACAACCTCTTATGTGGAACTCTGTCAAAAGCCTTTTTTAGGTCCAGATAGATGCAGTCAACGCAACCATCTCTTTCCTGTAATATCTCTGTTGCTCGATCATAGAAACTGAGTAAATTCGATACACAGGATCTTCCAGATCGAAAACCATACTGTCTGTCTGATATTATATCATTTCTCTCCAGGTGTTCTACCCAATTAGCTTTAATTATTTTTTCCAATATTTTGACTATTACACTTGTCAATGATACCGGTCTATAATTAAGGGGGTCTTCCTTGCTTCCACTTTTGTAGATTGGAACTATGTTAGCCTTTTTCCACACATCAGCTACAACTCCTGTATACAGGGATGCCTGAAAAATCAGTTGAAGAGGAATGCTGAGCTCAGGTGCACATTCTCTCAGAACCCATGGTGAAACTCCATCTGGACCAACTGCTTTGTTCTTATTTAGCTCCTTGAGCATTTTTTCCACTTCGTCTCTAGACACCTCTATGTGCTCTATGTTGTTCTCTGGAATTTTTATTGTATCTGGTTCCCTGAAGATTTCATTTTGTACAAACACACTTTGGAACTTTTCGTTTAATGTTTCACACATTTCCTTTTCATTTTCCGTGAATCTATTTCCCATTTTCAACCTCTGAATATTATCCTTTACCTGCAATTTGTTGTTTATGAATTTATAGAACAGACCTGGTTCTGTTTTACATTTGTCTGCAATCCCTTTTTCAAAATTTCTTTCTGCCTCTCTCCTCACTGCCGTGTAGTTGTTTCTCGCATCTTTGTATCGCTGATATGTTTGGGGGTTCGGCCTCTTCCTGTATTGATTCCATTTTTGTGTCTTTTGGTCTCTGGCCCTCTCGCACTTTCTGTTGAACCAATCCTGTTTCCTAGTTCTGCTTCTCTGTTTTGGTATAAATTTTTTTGTGCCTTTATCATATATTTCACAAAACCTGACATACATCTCATTCACTTCCTTGCCTAGCAACAAGTCTGTGCAATTATACTCACTAAAAAGTTTTCTAAGGTTGCCATAATGTCCTCTCCTAAAGTCAGGTTTTTTATTTGCATGAAAAACCTGACTTTATGTGGTGTGCTCTGGATGTGTGTTGTCACTTTGGTGTTTTCCAGGTCCAGATCCCATAATTTATGGGCTTTCTGGGTGGTTTCCCAGAAAAATTCTCAATGTTGTTTTCTTTTCAGAAAGAAGATTCTTGTCTCTAATATATTTAATTTATTGAATCTTAATTCTGTTTAATTTATTGAAAATAATAATTTTTTTTTTTTTTTGTAACAGAATATAAAGAAGAGTCTTGAAATAATTCGTGGTACTTGTGAATCTTCTGGTGCATCCATGGAAGTTGTAGAATTATGCCGTCGTGTCCAGAAACTCCAGGAGTGTGTGAAGGAAGCTGGTGGCCTATCAGGAGGTGGCACCTTTCACTGGGTTGATTCCATTCTAGTCAATGTAAGTTGTCTAATTTTTGCCAACAAAATATACTAAAGTACTGTATTTTTTCTACTTGTATTCTTTGTTTAATAATAATAATATGAATGGTATGAACATTTACACTTGATGATTTTTGTTGCATTTTAGGCGGTGCGTAATGGTGAATGGCTGCTTGTGGATGGAGTGAACTTATGTTCAGCATCAGTGCTAGACAGACTCAATGCTTTACTGGAACCTGGTGGCGTGCTAACCTTGAGTGAAAGAGGTGTGGTAAATGGAGCTGTTCCATCTGTTGCACCTCATCCTAAGTTCCGTCTCTTTCTTCTTATGAATCCTCAACATGGAGAGATTTCACGGTACGTTCTAAGAGTTATTATAAGAAAGAGAAAGTAACACTTCCAGAAATTTCCAGAGTGAGTGGTTAACTGTTAATGTTAATGGAACTATATCTTAAGATATTCCCTTATACCATTTATATCAAAATAATATGAGCTAAATGAGTCTTGTCTTTGATAATACAATAGAATCTCCAAAACTCATTCTGTGCCAAATTAAAGGAATTAACATTAATATCTTTTTTTTCCACATTCCATTGCTAAGGTTCACGGAGCAAAATCTAAAGTTCAGTCTGTCACATGATGGAAATCTACCAAATCAACAGAACTTGGCTGTAAAAAGATATTAACCTCATTGCCATTTTATCCCATCTCTCTGGGATGGGATAAAATAGCAATGCTGTTAAATAAGTGTGACCTGTGTTTTCTGTGAGGAGCCCCTTTGGCTTCCTGGAGCTATCGGGTTAATGTGTGATATATTAGACCGGGACATTAGTCTTTGGAATTCAGCCTACTGGGGATCACGAGCCAGAACCTGTCCTCTCAGAGAGGTTTCAGAGAGCAATGGCCCTGGAAAACCCCCTTGTGGTTGGAGATTTTCCTTATCTGCCATTTAATGGGGTTAGGCATTCAGTAAGGTAGGCATAACAAAACAAACCCCACATGGTAAGAAAATTAAAATGAAAACCCAAAAAGAGAGGCAGAGCTCTCTCCAATCTCAAGGAAACAAACATACGTCTCACTCCACTGCCGCTCCTCTCGTCTGTGCAGCCCTCCCCTCCGCAAGAGGGGGAGAGGGAGCCCCGGACCTTTCCGCACCTGCTATCCAGCACTTCAGTTAGTTCGGTAATATCGTCTGGGGGCAGATATCTTCTCTGACCTCGGTTTCCAAAAGCGGTGTTTTGCCTTCGTGACGACTTCTGCAGTGTTGTTGCGTGTGGTGGTCAGGTGTCCTCGAGAGTACCGGGGCTACATTCGTTTAGAGGAATCCTTCCCTAGGCGCCCTGAGAGTACTGCCCTTGCGTGTTAGGGTTCCCTTCCCTGGTGCTTTTGGGAATCCATTTCCGTAAGGGTTTTTACTGCTCGGCATTTACCTAACCCTTGGGGCCAGCTGGGGTTTTTGTAGCCTTGTTTGGCCTTGGGTAGGGAGTGGTGTCATGCTGGTTGGGGCATCAAGGTGCTGTGCAGCCTGCCTACCTACCCGGTGGCAGGTTCCTGTTTTCTCTGAAGACGTACTTTTACAGGGATTTTCTTTTGTTTTAGTTTTCTTGCCTTGTCCTGGTGTGGCTATAGTTCCACTTCTATTTTTTGGTGGCCCTCTGCTAGGCCCCCATGATTGTACATGTCACAGGGGTTTCAGTGTTTTGATCTCCCCCTTGTTAGCTTTGGGTCTTAACCGGTTAGCAACACCTTGCCCGGGCTTCCCGTATCAGTCAGCCTAAGGGCCCTAGAAAACCATGTTTGGGCTCGGTGGACTGTTGCACAATGGCAGCCCCTTTCAAAGCTGGAGAAATTGCTGACATGGAGAGAGTGCAGAGATCCTTTACTGCTAGAATCCACTCGGTAAAACATCTAAACTACTGGGACTTTAGGCTTCTAAAGAGCCTAAATCTGTATTCTCTTGAGCGCAGGCGGGAGAGATACATAATAATTTTCATGTGGAAAATAGTAGAGGGGCTGGTCCCAAACCTGCACACAGAAATAACACCACATGAGATCAGAAGGCATGACTGAATGAGCAGATTACCCCTATTGAAAAGCAGAGGTGCAATAGGTACTCTGAGAGTACTCTGTTGACTCCATCAACATCAGCGGCCAGAGACTGTTCAACATGCTTCCACTACACATAAGGGGCATAACTAGTGAACAAACACCTCCAAAGATACCTTATCAACCAGGCTGTGACTCATGTCAGGCTGCGAGCAGCCACTTCCAACAGCATGGTTGACCAGTCCAGCAAAGAGGAGGCCTGGTCGACGACCGGTCCGCGGGATCGCTGAACCCCGAAATCATCTCAAGGTAACCTCAAGGTATGGATGCGTCTTCCGAGTTCCATCCCGGCTTGTGCGGGTTCGAAGGTTGCTGTGTGCACTTGTCTCGGGGTCACCTCTTTTGCCTCCGTCATGCTGCCTGTATGGTCAACAACACCTTTGACCCAGAGTCTTGCGAGTTGTGTTCTCTGCTTGTTCTCCAGTACTTCTCTGATGACATTACTGTTAGGGTACAGGCAGCATCCACGCTGCATGCTAGGTTTAGGTTCCAGCAACATGCTAGGTTGGTTCCCACCCGGATGCCCCAAGGCTGCCACGCTTTGCTTATAGGGACCCAGACCTGGGGGTATTAGTCGCTTCAATTTTGGTTCAGTTCACACTCCCTAGTCCTCCCTAGTCCCCCTCCCCCCCACACATCCTCTGCTTCCAGCTCTCAGATGTCTGCGGGTTTCTGAGTCGGGGCAGGGTTTAGTAGGTAATGACGCTGGCAATTTCGGGGATTGCCCCATTTGGGTCGGGGACTGATATTGCGACTGTTGCATATCGAGAAGTGAGACTAGTTCTAATCATATTTCAGCTATAAATATTTGATAAGGACCCCATTGTTCTCCTTGCTTAAGATCTTTATGATCCAGGACGGGCCAAAATATCATCGTTGCTTCATTTTCTGATGTGAAGTTTGGTCATCATGTCTTCAGACAAGTTATTGTGACTCGTCTGCATCCAGAAGATTGCTGACTTGATAGCACATGTTTGATGGAGACCATCGTCTGTTAGGTTCCTCACCTCAACGAGCTGACCTTAGTGTTTGTGCCACTGCTCTGGCAACATACTGTTCTAGAATGACATCTGCTATGGTCTGAACTTGGTGACATTGCAGGTAGAGATAGTCTAAAAATAGGGCACTTTTAGACTAAATATTAAGTGCCCTAATTAGGCTTCTAGGGCACTTGCAATGTAGATGACATAAATCTTTAATGTGAAGCAGAACCAGAACCAATAACAAAGCAGTAGCCTTGGTGTAATTAACATTGCAGAAATACCCAACACTGATTAGCTTAAGTGTGAAGCAAGTGCAATATGGTGGCAACCTAAGCAAAACCTTGCTAGTCAGAGAGAATTTGTTGCTGGAGCCTCATTTGTCTTCATTGAGGTAACTATCATTTGCTTTGTTACCTCCGAGTCATTCATCTCATTCAAACAGTTGCTTTCTAGTGGGGGGGGTTTCTCAGTTTTGGTAGATTTTTGGTCCATAAGCTCTCTTCACCTCATAGAATGATCTAGGATGAGAATCTGGCTCGCAGTAGGTCATTGTATGGCTTGGATGCCTGATGTATTTGTCTAAGGCATGGCTTGACCAACATTCATTTATTCCCTCGCATACAGGGACACTCGTGTTCCAAGGTACCACTGTACATGTCATATGTTGTATGACAAATTTTGCAAAATATACAATGAAGGCACACATTCATACCAAAACAGAGGTGCAGACCTAGGAAACAGGGTTGGTTCAACAGAAACTGCAAGAGGGCCAGGGACCAACAGACACAAACATGGAATCATTATAGGAAGAGGCCAAACCCCGAAACATACCGGTGATACAAAGCGATACAACTACACAAGAGAGGGGAACTTTGAGAACGGTGCAGCAGACAAATGTAAATCAGCTCCAGGCCTGTTCTATAAATTCATTAAAAGCAAGCTGCAGGTAAAGGATAATATTCAGAGGTTGAAAATGGGAGACAGATGCATGGAAAATTAAAAGGAAATGTGTGAAACATTAAACGAAAAGTTCCAAAGTTTGTTTGTATAAAATGAGGTCTTCGGGGAACTAGACACAATAAGATTTCTGGAGAACAGCATAGAGCACATAGAGGCGTCTAGAGACGAAGGGAAAAAAATGCTCAATGAGCTAAGTAAGAAATAAGCAGTTGGCCCAGATGGAGTTTCCCCATGGGTTCTGAGAGAATGTACACCTGAGCTAATGGATCAAGCATTCCACTTCAGCTGATTTGTCAGACATCCCTGTGTACAGGAGTTGTAGCAGATGCGTGGGAAAAGGCTAACATAGTTCCAATCTACAAAAGTGGCAGCAGGAAAGATCCCTTCAATTATAGACCTGTATCATTGACAAGTGTAATAGTCAAAATATTGGAAAAAAATAATTAAACCAAATGGGTAGTACACCTGGAGAGAAACGATATAATATCAGATATGGTTTTCGATCTGGAAGATCCTTTGTATCAAATTTTCTCAGTTTCTATGATCGAGCCATAGAGATTTTACAGGAAAGAGATGGTTGGGTTGACTGCATCTATCTGGACCTGAAAAAGGCTTTCGACAGAGTTCCACATAAGAGGTTGTTCTGGAAACTAACATATTGGAGGGGTGACAGGTAAGCTTCTAACATGGATAAAAAATGTTCTAACTGATAGAAAAATGAGGGCAGTCATCAGAGGTAATGTATCGGACTGGAGAAATGTCACAAGTGGAGTACCACAGAGTTCATTTCTTGCACTGGCAATGTTCATTGTCTATATAAATGATCTGCCAGATGGAATACAGAATTATATGAATGTTTGCTGATTATGCTAAGATAACAGGAAGGATAAGAAACTTGGATGATTTTAATTCCTTTTCAAGAAGACCTGGACAAAATAAGTACATGGAGCGCCACTTGGCAAATGGAATTTAATGTAAATAAATGCCATGTTATGGAATGTGGATTAGGAGAACATAGACCCCACACAACCTATAAATTATGTGGAAAATCTTCTGAAAGAAAAGATTTATGATAAAGAAAGATCTAATGGTGGTTCTAGATAGGAACTATCACCTGATGACCACATAAAGAATATTGTGCGAGGAGCCTATGCCACGCTTTCTAACTTCAGAATTACTTTTAAATGCATTGATGGGGAATACTGTACTAAAGAAATTTTTCACAACTTTTGTTAGGCCAAAGCTAGAATATGCAGCGGTTGTGTGGTGCCCATATCTTGAGAAGCACATCAACAAACTGGAAAAGGTGTAAAGACATGCCACTAAGTGGTTCCCAGAACTGAAGGGCAAGAGCTACGAGGAGAGGCTAGAGGCATTAAATAAGCCAAAACAAGAAGATAGAAGAAAAAGAGGCGATATGATCACTGTACAAGATAGTAACAGTAATCGATAAAATTGATAGGGAAGACTTCCCGAGACCTGGAACTTCGAGAACAAGAGGTCATAGATTTTAACTAAACAAAGCAGCTGAAGGAATATACGAAAATTAACTTTCGTAAACAGAGTGGTAGACGGTTGGAACAAGTTAGGTGAGCAGATGGTAGAGGCCAAAACCGTCGGTAGTTTCAAAGCGTTATACGACAAAGAGTGCTGGGAAGACGGGACACCACGAGCATAGCTCTCATGCTGTAACTACACTTAGGTAATTACTTGGCCTCTGAGAGATCCCTCCCAGAAAACAATTGTATGTAATATTTATCGTGTAGACAATTATCAGTGGATAGAGCTTATGGGTGTTAATAGGGCATTCCATCATTTATGTCAATGAGAGAACTCATCAATATCTGGTATATCATTTAGTATGTGCAATATTTATGTGTAATTACTCATTTGATTTGATATTGTGAATGACTAATAAGTATTTAAAATTATTCAAATTACTACAAATTAAATGTGCCAGAAACTTAGAATTTTCTTGGTGAATATAGTTCTGTAGTTTTCTTTAATCATGGTAATAATGATTTGTTATTTTCAGAGCCATGAGGAATCGAGGCATAGAAATCTACATGCTAGGATCTTGGACATCACCTCAGGATTTACGTGCACTGATGTTGCAAGGAGGTCTTACCTCTCCACACTTACAGAATGCTCTCTTCCAAGCCCACCAAGCTGTTACAAATACACTTCCTGGTCAGTTTTCATATACATTCTAAGTTTGTGACTAGGTTTCTATGGTAAGGGGAATACTCATGATTCTATTTGTTTTTCCCTCAGCTTCTGTGATAAATCTTGAAAATGCATCTACATATTAACATGAAGCTTTTAACACATGATCGTAAATGCAAATTACTTCTATGAAATTTGGTTGTGTAGCCTACTAGGAACCAGAGCCTAGTCCCCCTCACAGAAGCACAGGTAGTAAGTGACAATCCTTCACCCCACTAGGAAAGCACCCAGAAAATGAAGCTTTGCAGATAATGGCAAGTGTCACAAAAAATGAAGCTTCGAAACAACCTAACAACCGCACGATTCAAACTGAATAATTGGTTCACTCGGAACGAACTCAAACCTTTAAGTTAGTACTGTTATCCACCACCAGGTAGCTCGGGCCCCTGCCCACAGCCAGCCTTCCTGACTCAGTTCTGTAGTTCTGTTGTTGATGTGGTGGTGTCTACTGCCTGCGGTGCTCTGGGTCTGTCCATCACAAGGAGCCCCTTTATTTTTAGCTAAGTGCCAGCAATCCTATTGGACCTTGCCCTGTAGGAGTCATTTGCTAGGGTTTTTTCTAATATTTTGGTATTGCTTATATCCAGCAGTGATGTGTGAGTTTGGATTCTGTGTGCTTCCAGCTGCACATGCTCAGGGTCCTCCTCTATGTCTGCCATGCGTGCTTGCTAGTTCCGGCCTTGCACTGAGTGTATTTTCTCTGGTGGGTTCGGGAGTTCACCCATTAGGGGCTGGGCCATCGAGGATTATGTGCCTCACCTTTGACTGCACTGTTTGAGCCCCTGGTTGAGCAGGCATTTTTATACAGTGTGCCACAATTGACTTTCACAGCCTAGGAGTTTTAAAGGCATTTGGGGTGTCTTCTTTCTGAGAGGCTCCAGTGCCTTGGTGTCTCTTCTTTCTGAGAGGCTCCAGTGCCTTGGTGTCTATTCTTTCTGTGAGAGGCTCCAGTGCCTTGGTGTCTATTCTTTCTGTGAGAGGCTCCAGTGCCTTGGTGTCTATTCTTTCTGTGAGAGGCTCCAGTGCCTTGGTGTCTATTCTTTCTGTGAGAGGCTCCAGTGCCTTGGTGTCTATTCTTTCTGTGAGAAGCTCCAGTGCCTTGGTGTCCTCTTTGGCTAATTACCTTCAGGGGCCTAGCAATTTACCTGTGAGTCCATGGTGTAATTCATTATGGATTGGCTCGTCAAGTTCATTCTCTTTGCCTCCGCCATGCTACCTATTGGGTCAGTGAAAACTATGACCCTCAGTCCTGTGGAGTATGTTCTCATTTTGTCTGATTTCTGACTAAACCTGCTTCAAGTTTAGGAGCTTACCTGGCAGCAACTGCTTAATTAACACTTTCGCATCCCTGGCGTGTGCGCCCCAGTGGTGGGGTTTCCAGTGAGCGCACACCCACACTAAAATGTGCATACCCTTTTCAGTTTTCTCACTTACATTTTTATGTTAAACTGTTCATTTTGGTATCAGATTGTTAGCACTAGAATTCTCTAAAGAGGTAAATGCATATAAGATAAAAAAGCACGGTGTGCAGTAAACCTGAAAATTGGCTGAGCGTTACCCGTTAGCAAGCACCTATCCACACACCCATAACACCCGCATTAAAATTTGTACTCTTTTCAGTTTTCTCACTTCAATTATCATGTTACATCATTCATTTTGGTATCAAGTTATTCACAATAGAATTCTCTAAAGGGATATATGCATATTTGGTCAAAAAGCCCAGCATGCCATTCGCAGCAAACACAAAAATCGGCCGAGCATTACGCCGTGAGTGTTGTATACACTAAAATGTGTGTACTCTGTTCAGTTTTCTTACCTCAATTTTAATGCTACGTCTATTATTCTGGTATCAAATTGTTCGCAGTCTAAAGTCACTCATTTAGAACTAGTCCCATAATGATTGGATATCATCAAATGGAATTTTAACAAATATTTTAATTTTGGACCCCACATGCATCCCCGCCGGACATCTGCAGAGTTATTTGTAAACATCAGCTCTGTCCCCAGAGGACTAAAGTGTTAGTCTCAATTTGCGCATGCTAGACACTCGGCTTTGTTCTCGTTTGGGTGCCCCAGAGTTGGCGTTTATTGTGTTCAAGAACCCAGAATTAGAGGTGTTAGTGACCTTCACCTGGATTAAGTCTGCACCTCTTCTTCCTTCTCCGGTAGGTGTAGTTTGATCTGCTTCTGGCCTTCCCTTCTTTTTGTTCTTGTTCTGAAGCACCTCTTGAGTTTTGGAGATGGGGCAGGGTTTAGTTCAGGATGTAGCTCAGTCTTCTCTGAGAGGTGGTCCCATCCACTGCTATGGCAAAGGTTGTCGAGCCATCTGGTCATCCCTGGGATTTTGTAGTTTTCACCTCCACAACCACTTTCCCACTCTGGACCTTCTCCTTGGAAGGATGCCTTACCTTCTCAGGCATTGGGTGAGAACTATGGAGCTGCACAGATTTCTTCATGGCTTTTTTCTGGAAATGAGGGAACTCTGACAAGGGTCCTTGGGTGCCCTTCAACCCTTTATGGGCTTTGGTTCATTCTGTGACAGGTCAGTTGCTTCAGTGGGGAGAATTTCTCTTATACCTCTACTTTGTATGATTTTCATCACTCTGTGGTTCCCCTCAGGTTTGATTCTGTGTCCCATACAGTGCCTCAGATTCATCCTACTTATGGAGGATTCTGTCTTCCTGCATTTCTTCATCTGTGGCTTGCAAGACTTGTTTCAGTACCCCGTGGTGAGTCCAGATGTCGTTTCATTGTGGACCCGGCCTCTTTCAAGTACAGTTCGGTCTCCACTTATTGGCTTCAATTTGAGATTATGGGTTTATCCTGGCTGGCAGACAATCCTCTTTTCCTTGGGGGATTGGCATAGGTTCTGTTGAATTCATACACCCGATTGGCAAGAAAAGTGTTTGTCTTTCAGGTGTTCCTTGTGCTCTGCTCGAGGACTGCCTGTTTGCCCCATTACTCTGCAAGGACGTAGACGAGTGGCAACCCTATGTGCCTCTGGGACTTTTATTGGAAATTACCATAATGCTCTTGTGTTTCTGGATTCTTAGGAAGTGGCTCTGAGCAGGTCTGTGAGGGTGTGGATTCATTTGGGTCTACCACAGGAGTCACGTGGGGTTGGGCACGGTATCAGTGCCTGAACCGGGCGCGATATTGGTGCCAGGATTTTTGAAGCAAACAAAACAAGGCCCCAAAATCTGCCGATATTTTAAATGGGGTATCTGTAAACATGGGATATCGGGGAGAACAAATGGCACATGTGAATATGATCATCTCAGAAAGTGCAGGACCCTTCTTAGTACAGGTAAATGTACCAAAAGCTGTGATCTCTTTCACCCGGAACTATGCAAGAACTCTTGAAATTAGATGAATGTTTCAACACAGAATGTCCAACTTTTCATATAAAAGGTACCAGGCAAATAAGACCAACAAACCGCCTCGATGAAAGCAACCACAACACTATTTACCAGGATGATTTTTTAACAAGGAGGAGGAGAAGAATGGCTATAAATGTCAAAACTCTACCACCAACTCAGTCAAATGCCAGAGAGGACGCAAACACAGTGGCCTCCATACCAGAGCTTTAGATATTAACACCAAGTAAAGCATCCAGCACTTCCACAAACATAACATCATTTTTATTTGCCAACATTCAGGGTATAAAAACATGCAAATCTAACAAAGTGCACTTCATAAATGGCCGCCTACATGAGGCAAATGCAGTGTTTGCAGCCCTAACTGAAACTAACACCAAGGACTACAATGATGGTCAAATATAGATTTTGAAGTACAATCTTTTCAGATGTGACAGATATTTTAAGATACAGAGATCTTAAATGTAGTTATTGTCCTTGTATATATGTCACTGGAGGCAAATCATCTGCAGTTTAAAGACCAACTGAAAAACCAGTTTAAAGATTAATGAAAATAAAACACTGCTTAGAAAACCTCACAAATCTAGCCCCAAACATCATCCTGTTTGGAGACTTCAACCTACAGCCCCTGAAATGGAAGACCTTAGCTAATACAGTTGTATCAGAGAGAATTCTGGGAAGTAGCCTAAATGAACAGTCACATGCAAATGACCTGCTACGGATGTGCGACAGATTTGCCTTAAACCAGCAAATAGTAGAACCAAGCAGGAAGGAGAACACACTGGACCTCATTTTCACTAATAATGATAAATTGATCAGGAACATAATGATTACAAATACCTGTTACTCAGATCACAACTTAATTAAAGTTCTGACAACCATGGGGAATAGACCTTCAAAACTAAAGCTACAAGAATCATACAAAACCCAGGAGAGGCAAAGAGCAAAAGGCCATCAGTTAAATAGAGAGAGATCCAAAATATTTTCCTCCTAATTCAAAATCAGGATAAAAAACCACCTCTAGTATGGGGCCCCTGTGAAAGGGAAATGGAATTTTCACAGATGACAACAAAGAAATGAGCGAAATACAGAGGAATCAGTACAATTCTGTTTTCAGCAAGCCACTAAACACACTAAAGATTGATAACTCAAATGAATTTTTCATGGATATGATACAAACATCAAATATCAGATGTCCCGCTATCCCCACTGGATTTTGAAGAAGCCATAGACAGTATGCCTATGCACTCGACACCAGGCCCTGATTCTTGGAACTCTATATTCATCAAGAACTGTAAAAAAACCACTGTCGCAGACTATTCGGGTTCAGGCTGTTCAGGCGTTGCATGCTCGTTTTAGGTTGCTGCAGTGCGCTAGGTTGATTGCTGACCTGGAAGTTCGAGACTGCCCCGTTTTAGTTATAGGGACCCAGACTTAGGGGTGTTAGTCTTTTCGACTTTGGTTCAGTCCGTGCCCCCCTCCTCCACCCCTCTTTCCGGCTCCGAAGTGTCTGAGGGTTTCGGAGGCAGGGCAGGATTTAGTTGGTTTCGAGACTAGGGCGGTCTTGGGGGATGCCCCTTCCAGGGTGGCAACGGAGGCATTCTAGCCGGTTCCTCCTGCCAAAGCGTCTGGGTCTGACCAGTGGACCCCCCTTCCTTCCTGCTTTTCAGGCTGCTCCGGCTTTTCCTTTTGAAGCCTGAGCTTTAGGGGATGGCTCGGCCCCGGGTCTTACTGTGGAGATTCCCACCGTTGACTTGGGGGCCTTGCCTTGGGCCCCGTTGGACCCATCTTGGGTTTTTGTACCCTCTGAGTGGGACTTGCTGTTGCAGGGGGTGGGGAAGGTTTTCTTCACCCCCTCCGCGTACGAGTTGGATTTGGTGTCAGCCCTTCCCTGGGTTCAGTTCGGTGTCCCTTCGGGTCTGTCGTTCCCATCCTTCCAGAAGTTTTCGGCTTCCCGCATCACGCCTCATGAGGTGCAGGAAGCCATTGCGGCTTACCTCCTGTGTGACCCAAATTTCACCTCCTTAATTTTTAACTCCAGGGAGCCTCCGGGTCTCACCCAGAGAATGGCGTTTCATTACATTCACAACCCGTCCTCTTAAAAATAACGTCACTTTTGGCTCGTATGCGCACTATGGCCAAATTTGGACGTAATTTGAAATGAAATCGACTCGCAAAAGTGACGTACTGTTCCGTTTTCTGTTTGAGTCGTCCGGCCGACTCTGTAAGGTTAGAATAGATGACTTTCAAGTCACGTTTTTCATAACGTTTTGAAATTTTATATGAATTTCCTGCCCACCTAACCTATCAGAGGACCCTTAACTTAATGTTGTTGATAAAAAAAATCCCAAATTTATTTTCATCTTTTTTTTTTTTCATTTTCAAATTACGTCCAAATTCGGCCATACGGGCAAACGGCCAAAAGCGACGTTATTTTTAAGAGGACAGGTTTACATTCAACCCTGTTTTTGTTTTGTTTTTTGTTGAGTAAAAGTGTATTTACCACTTTATAAACATTACAAAATAGACTAATATTTAGTTTTCATTTCAACAGTGTATGAACAACCAAGCATATCAAAATTGAAGCAGGTGGCATCACTGACAAGCCAGTTGATCCAGACTGGATATCATCCCAACCATGCTCTCACCAAGGCCCTAAAACAAGTCTATTTGCAGTAAGTTACAATTTGAATGCAGTATACTGCAGCAGTTCTTATTTTTACCCTTCTTTTGAATTTTGCTTTAATGAACAAGGTCCCCAGCAAATGTAAATTTGCCTAGTCACTGTGAAGTGGTCATTAGTATTTATCAGTCAAGTCACTTATGGTTAAAGTTTCACCACCATATATATTCATATATTCCCAGTCAAATCATAAAATATATGTTCCTTAGTTAACTAGATACTTGTTAACCAGTTTGAGTTTCTATAACAAGCAGAATTTGTATAACTAGTTTAAACTGAGTTTGAAATACCACTGCCTTCTCAGCATAAATCAAACTGTCAACTTAGTTTGCTAGACCTGAATGATATAGCTTTAGATAGTTGATATAGTGGGCCTAATGGCTCCCTCAAAACAGCATCTGAGGGACTGGCTCAGAAAGTACTGCGATGGCTTTACTGTTGTCAACAACTGATATTTGCTTACCTTAGTACATGTTTATTTTACACATGGGATCTTGGTGATTTCATATTCATTTTGTAGGACAGAGAAAGGTTTTTCACTCGTAGTTCTTCTTACAATTTTCCCATCACTTAACTTTATATTAATCATCATATTTTTGTTGATAGTACATTTCTAGCTTGTCATCTCCTCATTTAGATTGATTTTTATACATACTCATTCTCCTTGAAAACAAAATTGATTTTCCAAGATGTCAAATATATGACATATATTTCGAATCAATGTATGACCCGATATGACCTGAACTCAAAAGTGGCTAAGTCCATCATAGAAAAGAGGTCCGAACTCCACAGAAGACACCACGAGTTAGGATAAAAACCTCTGGAAAAATCATGAATCTGGGTGTAGTTAGTCACCTAACTGCACCCTGAATAAATCCAAGAGGGCACAGCCAAGCGATCCAATTCATGCATGAACCAAAACACACAATACCATAAAGCAAATGGCCTCTATAGGACAATCAAGTCCAAGGATGTCTGGTACTTGAAGCTTTGGGGCTTGCCCAAGAGGTGGCATGACCAGAAGCACTGCAAGGTTGGTGTTGGACACCAACATCAGAAACAGAACTAACTTTTGGAGTCGACTGTGATCCTCATTGTGGTACTTGATTCTAACGAGTTTCAAGCTTGTTTGAATGACTCCTTTACTCTTGTAACTTGTTTGCATTAGTTCTTTGGCGATTTTCGAGGCTTTGTTTTCCGTGAACCCTCGGACTTTCTACGCTGCGCTGTCTTTCTGTAGGCTCTTTCTGTTGAGGCAGTAGATTGTCACCTGCTCTCTGCACCTGCTTGAGGGGCCCAGGTTCTGGCTCTGGTCTTTGGTGGGGCAAACAATATTATCTGCAACTGACGTGACCTTTTAGTATTAAACATTCCTTGGAATATAGCTGCTGGGCTACTTCAGAAAGTGGTGTTTCATTACATTTAATGCTGGGGTTTCTTTCCTAAGTATCACAATGTCTACATAACCCCGGAAACTTTAGTTCAGAACAGGGCTAGGGGGGGTTTAATAGTTTATATATATATGCAGCCAATCAAACTACAAAATTAACTACATACATTGAAGAGGTTCCTTATCTTATAGTACAGCAGGTTAGTCCACCAGGTATAACTAGGGTGTAGACACCTAATTATCCTCTTTGAGGTAGCTTCCATATCACCCAGTAACTGGTGCACAAATCTTGCATCCTCGACTTGACCTGTCAAAAGTGCGCTAGCTGTGAAGCCAGAATCCTATATATGACAAGCTATATCAGAGAAAACAGTACATGGAACATGAAGACCTGGCTTAATTACCTTTAGTTTGAGGCTTCCATGTGATCTAACCGGGTCACCCTATATAATGACATTAATGGCCACTAATGATAAATAATGGGTTTCGGAAAGAACACTTAACTTGATTTGTTGACAGCGTGTTGACAGATGGTACACCTTTGGTATCCATAACACTACGTCCAAGTAAAATTAACAGGAGCCGAATTTGCTCCCGTGTGAGCCTCTGGTCTCGTATAACAATAATGGCTGCCCTCCTCCTCACTCTGACGCCTGGCTTACATTGTCCAGATTTCAGAAAGTGATAGAAGGGTCACATTTACTCTACTTTAATATTGATAATTAAGTTAATTTATATAAGATGTTTTTATGATGGTAAAGTCCAAAGACTTATGTATTTAAGAATAATTCCCAGCAGAATAGGTGGTGAATTATAATAGTATGTGGTGATGATATCCCGTTTTCTATAGACGGTAATTCCACTACAAGTTACGTTTTCTATGGGTAACTTGTTGGTAATACAGTTATTATCTGTATGATTATTAAATGGTGTCGGATTTTCCGACATAATTCCCCAGGGGGCTGCTCACGGGTCGAAGTCCTATTTAGAACAGACGAACACCGATACTCCTCCTTCGAATTATTACATTAATTTGATGTTAGTAGTTATTAATCACACATTTGTGTGTCTGTTCGTACAGGACGGATGTCCCGTACTAGAGTTGCAGGGGTTAGAAGTCTAATGCGATTTCATTTCCCTGTCAACTCTTGAAAGGCTAATATTCAAGCCTTATTACATATTATTTAACCCAGAAGACTGGATGTGATCAAGTACTACAGTCAAGTATGATTCAGGGACTGCAGTGAGATCAGTGACATTAGATATAACTTGAAGTTTCTTCAGGTAACTGGTCACTGATATATAAACACTGAGGCCCATGGAATACATCTTGATTAAATAATAAATGTATCAAATCAGTCATCAGATTTATTGGGGTTTAATTTAGTTAATTGATTCAGAAGATTGAATAGCTCATCATTAAAGTAAATTATGGTTCTGAGACTGCAGTGGGTTCAGTGACATTGGTCGCAGTGACTTGTAGCTGTTTTAGGCTACTGTTCACTGATTTGCCACTGAGGCCTCATGAACTCATCTTCAGCTTTAAATGATGATACTAACATCAACCTCTGTTGGTATAGTCAGCTGTAATCTCCTTAGTATAATGCTACTGGAGAAATATAATCAGCTGACAAATTTAGATTCTATTGGTATTGTTTATCTGCAGGCATAGGTCTCCTCAGGCTTGATACTGGGCCTGAGAGTAATTTACCTCCTGCAGAGTTTAACATGGTTATACCCTGATATTTAGTAGGGCTACCGATGAATTGATGGTAGTAGTCTGTCCCCACAAGGACAGCCATTTGGCATTTGATTTGCTCAAATTTACCTGCAGCTGCTTGATAATAGCTTTCCAGGTCAGCATAATCAACTTGAGATTGTTGTGACAAATCTTCACATTTCTTGATCTGTCTTGTTAAGTGGCCTTTAAGACCTGCAAGGGTTCTTTTCATTCTCCCTGCATTATCCATACTGGCTCGTTGGTGAAGCCTTGTGGGACTTGTACTTGGGCTGCTCATAATACTGAACAAGCACTGATGGTAGCCTAGGGTAAATTCTGCACTCACTAGGCAATAATCCTACCTCTACTAGAGGTTAGCACTTAAAATTAATACACATTATATATATACAATCATCCACACTAATGATTTGAGTGATAAACCAGTGTCACTGGAAGTACCTTTAGGTTAGCTCTTCTATATCACCCTAGGATGGTAGAGACACTAATTAATCACTCAAAGGTGTAATGATCATAAGTAATTTATTATATATACAACTCAACTCGAGTTGATAAAAATTACACCCAAAATAGGGTCTGCACCATTCATTAATGGTGTTAGGTTATTCAATATAGTACAACTGACTATGGTAATAATGGGACTAGGATGAACGATAATAGTTCAACTAGTCATATCCTACCCTGTTGTGGGTTGGCAATTAGTAAATATATTGTGATCACTAGTGCAATATATATTAAATAATTCTCTATTTTGGAGAATTTATATACACAATTATTGATAATAGCCTCTTAATTAGCCGCTATGAAACTTCTAATATTATCTAGAAGTATTAAATATTATTAGTGACCTCGCGAAATAAACTCCACAAAATTCGTAGATAATCTCTCGCGAAATGTAACACCACGAAATCCGTGAACAATCTCGCGAAGACACAGTCACTAGTTGGCTGGCTTCTATATTAGCGCTGTCATTTCACGAAATAACACGCCACCAAATTTCTGTGGGTGTGCATGAAACCGCTGACGAAGCTGAACTGGGCTGAGGGAGGCTCCTGAGCTCCCACGAGGCTTCGCCGCTGTCTTTGACTGGCTGGCCTTGTTTAAATAACACTGCACTAGTATATTTAATGAATCCACTGGATAACTGGCTCATCCGGTACTAAGATGACCAAATGTGGGTTCAAAGGATCAAATAATCCGTCATCCGGTTCGAAGGACCAAATAATGTGGGAACCGACCTGTGAGATTTATATTTATTTGATTTATATGAATTTATATTTACGTTAATTTGTATACTTCGATAGCAATTTGTATAATGATAAGTGGACTGTATTTCTGCAATAATCTCATAATCTCACAAATCGATCCTCTACACATTAGGGGGGGTTTAATAGTTTATATATATATGCAGCCAATCAAACTACAAAATTAACTACATACATTGAAGAGGTTCCTTATCTTATAGTACAGCAGGTTAGTCCACCAGGTATAACTAGGGTGTAGACACCTAATTATCCTCTTTGAGGTAGCTTCCATATCACCCAGTAACTGGTGCACAAATCTTGCATCCTCGACTTGACCTGTCAAAAGTGCGCTAGCTGTGAAGCCAGAATCCTATATATGACAAGCTATATCAGAGAAAACAGTACATGGAACATGAAGACCTGGCTTAATTACCTTTAGTTTGAGGCTTCCATGTGATCTAACCGGGTCACCCTATATAATGACATTAATGGCCACTAATGATAAATAATGGGTTTCGGAAAGAACACTTAACTTGATTTGTTGACAGCGTGTTGACAGATGGTACACCTTTGGTATCCATAACACTACGTCCAAGTAAAATTAACAGGAGCCGAATTTGCTCGACAGGGCTCTTACAATTGTTAGACCACTATGACATGGCTTTAGATGCCACAGAAGACGAGCAAAATGCTGATGTTTTTACACAGATCTCATAAAAACATTCAACACACGTAACCATAGTGCTATTGCACTCAAAATTCATACAAAAGGCATTACTGACAATAGGAAGATGGATCGTCGATTTCCAAATGTATAAAACTCGAAGTGTAATAATCAACAAAGTACAGTAATAATGTCGGAAGACCTTTCTTTTTAATCCCTGGACTGTGCCCCTGTTTATATAATGCAACACCCTGGTGCATGGAAAATAAAATAATTCCCCCAAATTTTTCCTTTGATTATTATTAAGATGCATTCTCAGATTATAGGAAAAACCAAAGAAAATGGCCTGGCTGTGCCACACAGATTGCAGATAATTAATTAGCATGCATGGCTAATTGTGCAACATGGCTGGAGTCATGTGCAATAAAGGGGTTAAAGAACACAACATAGCTGTTGTAACTGCAAGAAAAATGACAGGCTGGATAACAAGAACATTTTACACAAGATGCCAGACCAATGATGATATTTTTTTCTATACTATTGCTCAGTAGGGTAGAATATTATTACACAGTAACAAGTCCATTCAGAACTGGAGAAATTGCTGGCTTAGAGATAGTGCATGGGGTCTTTTACTGCCCAAATTTACTAAATAAAATATCTAGATTATTGGGACCGCTTAAAATGTTAAAATCTGTATTCTCTCAAGAGTGCATGCGAGTCTAATATATAATAATTTACACTTGGAAAATATTAGCGACTAGTTCCAAATCTGCACACAGTGATAGCTCTACATGAGACCAGGAGCTATGGCAGGAAGTGCAGAGTTGTCATTTTGAAAAGTAGAGATGCAATAGGTATGCTGAGAGAGAATTCAACATTAAGGGCGCAAGACTTTTCAACTCTGTCTCAGAACATAAGGGACATAACTAACCAACTGTTCATAACAATCCAAAGAGAAAGGATACCTGATTAACTTGGCTCTGACTCAAACGTTAGACTTGCAGCAGCTGCATTGAACAGCTGGATGACTTTACCCCCCAATCAGGAAGCCTGGTTAGAGACATTGCTCCCCAGAACCCTCAGCAGGTAGATAACAGGTACTTCTAATTTCTTCCTCACCAGTTAACATTTTCTCATGCTTAGTTTTAGATGCCATTAGCAGTTATGTCAGTCTTCTTGCTCCACTTACTGCACTTCCTCACTTATTTATAATAGCAATGCCTATTTTCAGAGGAATTTAGTTAAAAAAATATTACTGGCATATACTAGGAAAGATTATAGATTTATCTGCACTACTTTTTTGCTTAAACCTTGTGTTGCTAAGAGCAATTTGGCCCTTGTCACCCACTGGCGCATAACAAAAAAAAATTCTTCCAAACCTGTTAGTTTGTGTTCCCTGACCACGAAAAAAAAAATTTAATTATACTTACCAATGACTTAAATGAGCCGTCAATATGAGTGATGACGTCACACCCTGCATGCTCGCTCATGCAAGGTGCGTCCCGGAGGCGTCGCGCACACTCTTCAAGCAGCCAGAGTTGCCACAAATTTATTTTTGCAGCATTATTTACAGTGTCTAGGCATATTTTATCACAAATATTATTCACTAATTGTGTTACATATAATGTTACATCATGTTCAATTATAATAAAAGTTGCACACGTTGAGTATACACATAACACAAATGTTTTCAATTACGCCAATATGTATTCACATTGTTCATTATTACTGTATATTTATACACATCCACGCACTATTTACAGGTTTTTGCATTATTATTGCACATTTAGAAGCTTGGAGACAGTGGTAGTTGTTGAAGCAGTTGACAGCACATGATGGAACTGCACACGCTTCACACCATGTTTGCACTAGTTTACACCTCTGATCTCTCTTTTTTTTTTTTTTTTTTTTTTTTTCTATAAACCAAGCAATCACGCTTTCCAGCTGGTGGCAAATGTTTTAGTCTGTGTGTTTGAAAGCCCTCCATGTGCGTGAGCCTGGGTGTAGCAGCATGCTGCAACACTGGGTTCATGATGGGTCTTTGTATGCCAGGAACATCTTTGCCAAACTTTGTTAGTAACTGTGTAAGTGTAAAACCAATCGGACGGAAACTCGGTTTTTTCACCAGATACATATTGTAGCTGTTCAGCATGCTTACGTCAACAAGATGGTAAAACACTTTTTTCGTCCTCTTCAATGTTTTCCGTACACACTCGACAGTGCCCACCATCATGTCAGATTTATCAACCAAACACATGTTGGTATTATAGCCAAGAACACAATCTGGCTTATATACGGGATCTTGCGTTACTCGGTTCACCTTGCCACTGTTGACCCTTGTACCATCATGAAAGGTTGTCAGCAAGTTCACTTCTCTCTCTTGTCTTTCCACCTAACTGAGAGTATTTGATCACATTTTCTTAGCTGGCAGTCACCAATTTCAAGATTATTGTCAAACACTGGCACCCTTCTTCTTGGCTTTACTGTGCCAACCATTCCAGTTCTATGCTCAATCAAGAACCTAGCTAGCAAGGGACTTTTATAGTAGTTATCCGTGTATAAAATGTGGCCCTTGTTCATACATGGTTCCATCAGTGACTTCACCATACTACTTGAGAAACCATGTTTGTCATTACCGGGAATGTTTATATCGCTAGCAGAATACAGAGTCATGTGTAACCCTGTTTCACAGTCACAAAGAACAACGAATTTCAATCTAAATCTGTTACGTTTGGAGGGAATATACTGCTTGAAGGCAATACATCCTTTGAAAAGCACAAGGGATTCGTCAATCACCAGTTTCTGTGCTGGTATGTAGAAATCTCTGTACTTTCCAATCACTTCATTCATATAGTGCCTGACTCTCCAAAGTCTATCATCCTCTGTCCGGTCTTCATTACTTGCAAAATGAAGACACCGGAAGAGTACAGTATCTGAAACCTGTCTTGGGATATATATTTCCCGAAGAAATGTGTTGGAACAGTCTGGTCTAATCTGTGATAGCGTGTTTCATCAACATACAACATCAACATACATAAAGCACCTAAATTATTGGGATCCTCTCAAAGCTCTCCAAATGTACTCACTAGAAAGGAGACGAGAGAGAGATCAAATAATATACACATGGAAGATACTGGAGGGCCAAGCACCAAATCTATATAGTAAAATATCAACGTACTGGAGTGAATGATATGGAAGAAAATGCAGAATAGAACCAGTGAAGAGCAGGGGTGTCATAGGCACAATCAAAGAACACTGTATAAACATCAGCGGTCCACGGTTGTTCAGCGTCCTCCCAGCGAGCATAAGAAATATTGCCGGAACAACTGTGGACATCTTCAAGAGGAAACTAGATTGTTTCCTCCAAGGAGTGCCAGACCAACCGGGCTGTGATGGGTATGTGGGCCTGCGGGCCTGCGGGCTGTTCCAAGCGACAGCCTAGTGGACCAAACTCTCACAAGTCAAGCTTGACCCTGGGCCGGGCTTGGGGAGTAGAACTCCCAGAACCCCATCAAGTAGGTGATATATTTATATAATAAAATGTGTGAGCCATCGCTGTACTCAAAATTATGGTGTGCATATTAATGATTCAGTTATTATTAAAACAATAAACAAATAGTTTTGCTGTTATTACACTATATACACACAGGTTATATATAAGTATCTGCATGTTTTGCTCACCATAACGAACCACTAAGTTAGAATTGTGAGTCAAAAAGCGAGGAGGAGTGACCGCCACACACCAGCCACCCACTCGCTGCCACTCCCTTCCTCAACACCACCTCATTCGTCCACATTCTCCTCCTACGATATTGTTTTTGCATTCACTATACACATATGTTATATATAAGTATTTACATGTTTTGTTCACAATAACTGTACATCTAAGCTTGTATGGTGAGTAAAGGCAATAAGACGTAGCTACTCACACAGTCAGCTGGTGGCGGCCGCCCTCAGGGCCAGGCGCACTAATATTTCTCCTACAACAATATTGTTCGTGGTGTTGTTATGCTATATACACACATTATATATAAGTATCTACCCGTTTTATTCACCATACCTGTGCAAATAAGCTGGTATAGTGCCCAAAGACCATAGTGGCCACCAGTAAACAACATAAGTCGTGCAGACGACGCACCTTCCTCACCAAAATGGCGGCTCCCAACCTACTCCTCTTGCTGTTTATACCCTCTATACACACGTTATATATAAGTATCTTCATTTGTGTTCACCATAGCGAACCACTAAGCTGGTATAGTGAGTGCAGTCAATAAAAGGTGGCCACACACAGAAGACGACGCCACCACCCTCCCTCCCACAGCATTACTCCTCCCTCCATGGAGCACAGCGCTAAATATCACTACAATCTTGCTGTTATCAGAATCCTGGTCAGTTTTATCACAGTCAGGGGTCTTCTGTAATACTATCATCGCTAAATAAAAGCATGAACATATATATTTTGATATTTTAGGTGATGCTGTGGTCACAAGCTGAATGGCAGTGCTGTGCGCTCATGATGCGTGTGTCAGCCTTGGTGGCTCTCTCAATACTGAAGCTCTCTCACCCAGGAATGTTGGCCACGATTTGTTTTCTAGGTGGTGTCTGTCAACTATCGGTCGTGGCTGCACTATAGCTGCCCCTATCCCACGCGGGGCTTTTAAATTTAGGCTCTAGACACTAAAGCAGCTATTAATATATTGTGCGGTTCCGGTTTTGTTTCTCAAATCATCTATATATGTATTGTGCGGTCTAAGGGTTAAGAGTTAATATGGTTGTTTCAAGTTCTTTCCATTAGAGACCACCGTTAGTTTAACATCATTATGTTTCATATGGTATTCATCACAGTTGTAATACTATTTTCCTCCACAGGTCATTGGGCAAATTCATCAAACATCAAGCAGTTGGGAAAGCCATAGAAGAAATTGTGAATTTATTGATGGGTACCTCTGACATGCCTTGGCCTCCTTATGAAGATCAAGTTTTGAGTATTCATAGGCTAAGTAGAGGTAGTAACTTGACACAAGTGAGAATTTTAGGATCTTTGTTGCACACATTGTTGCTGGCTATTGAAAATCAAGAGGCTGTCAGAACCTGGGCAGATGCAACCTTGTCACTACCAAGACCTCTTCCAGTTCCAGAATGTGGCATACTTCATTCTCTGATATTAATTTTGACCACTATTCCCTTGAATGATTGGTCCTTGCTTCATACTTGGATGTCCCAGCTGGTTTCATATTTACCCCCTAGTGCAGCACAGCTTGGTTGTAAAATAGTAACTGCAATACAATATGCTGTTTCCATTGGTCCATGTTGTGCTTCTCAGGCCTTAGTAGCAAATTTGGGCCCTGACTATGGATGTGATCCTCGGTACAACCTCCAGGCACTTACAGGAAAAAAGAAATGCAGAGGAATAGAATTTGAAAGTTTGGCTAATAAGTCCACTCTCTGGGTGTGGCGGACATTGTTCTGTTTTTACAAAGAACCCCAAATTATTCAAAACAACCTGAATGGTAATTGCACAATAGACGCAATGACAGTGCTGGAAATTTCTCATGCAATTAATGAGGGAACAATTGGAAAGAATACTTCACCACATGTTTCAGTGCCACTCATAGTTCCTTTTCTAAACCTGACACACAAAATGATTCAAGAACTCTCAAACATTACTCACAGACAAAGAATTCTGCCAGCTGTTAAGTGCCCTGAGGTGGTGTGACTGTCTTTATCAGTTGTGTTGTCAAGTAGTAAAGAAATCTAAATTTCACTTATTTTTACCTCAGCTGACTCTTCATTGGCAATGGATTGAGGAAGAATTGCTTCAGAAAATGCCAGAATCATGGAGTTCATTGGCTTCAGAGCAATTAAAAGCTGTTGTCAAGCATATGCAATCAGCTTTTGAAAAAGAATTTGGTCTAATTCACAAGTTAGCTAAAGGTCTTCGGTTACATATGTCACCTGCTCCGTTTGCATCCGAGTTATTCTCAGATGCCCAGTCTTGTATATTAGACTTGGTGTCCTGCCTCGTTCCTACCCCAGAAAGTGACAAGATTAATTTGTTTTTGGCATCATCAGTTGGAATGGAGATGCGAGACTCTTTGATTTGCATTGCAAGAAAGGTTTCTACATGTGATACTGAGAGCATTGCAAACATACATGATGAGCTTAGCACATTGAAAAAAGCTGTACATAAAAAAAGCATCCAATTTCAGTCATCTTTGAAGGCCATGGAGGCTGATATATTATCTCTTCAAATTCAAATGTGGCCTTTGTTAGATTATATGGCTCTTCGTGCACTTTCTCTTGATAGTATGTGTGGAGAATTGTCTCCACACCTACAAGGTGTGATTGCTGGGGCTCCAGGTGTGTACAAAGAACTACTTGGTGCACTTTCAGGTCCATCATTCCGACTCACCCCAGTCATTGGTACTCACAGGTATTTGGCCTTCAGTCAATGCACTGCTACTCATCACACTCGCAGCTTTCTTACGTACTCATCTTCATCCTCGGATAAAGATACTGAGGAACATCTTATTGATGATATACTCCATCCATCAGCTTGCCAGCTTACTTACATATTGTTGGCTGGTAATGGTAGACAGAACATTGGAAATGAAAGTACAATAGAAGAAGTACCATCAGGTCTGCATGTAGAAAAAGTTGCACAATTGAAGAGTATACGGTCTACTCTTTGGAATAACTGGTTAACTCTTGCCGATAGTTCAACAAGTTATGAAGCATCATTCACCAAAGCCTCTGGTGCTTTTATTACTACAACTTTGGGTGCCTTTGCAATCACTCTCAACATTATTCCAGAATTCAGTATTGAATCGTGTGATTTTTACACAGCTTCATGCTTAGCTCGTAAGATTGCAGAGAACAGCAATACGTCAGTGCTGGATTGCAGTAGGAAACAGTTGTATAAAGTGGCCAGCATAGCTGAAGAACTCCAAGGATGTCACAGTGACTGGATAGAAAAGTCAGCCATTGCAGCCCATGCAGTCTTGGTTATGGGGGCCTTACAAACTAACATTTTAGGCCATTTAGAACCTGTTGATCCTGCTCAATGCAATAATCTTATGCTTCAGTACCATCAAGAGGAATTAGAAGATTTGGAGTCCCATCTAATGCTTTCTGAATGGCTTGAATGTTTGAGTGGATGTCATAGTAGGCTTCCTGTGGACTTGGCACATCCACATTTAGCATTTTTTAAGGAAAAATGTATTCACCTAAGGAAAAAAGTGCATGAATTGACTCAGCAAGTTGCTCACCGCCCTGGTCCTTCAGAATACCACCAGTTAAGGCAAGATTTTACTCATTTTCTTTCTACAGTTTTCACACAGGCAAAGCTTCAAGAACTTTCATCAGCTCTAGAGGAATGCAGAGACACTTCTACTCCAGCTGCAGTATCAATGAAGATAGAATGTATGATTTCCTCCTGTGATAATTTTGTACAAAGAGTTGTTCGGCAGTACCCTCTGTACCGTGATCTCACGTATCCATTACTTTATGGTGTTACCATGACCTGTGAGGCCCTGCGTTTGTTGGCTTCTCATTCTTGCTTGAAGAATATTAGTATCACTTGTGGAACTGACTTGACAGAAAGTTTAATAAAATATTCTGCTTTTCCAGCATTACGAGAACCATTACATCCGCTTCGGCTTCTGAATGAACAGTTAAATATTGCTGAATGTACAACAGTTTTACTCCCAGAAGATCAGTATCCAGGTGAAGCAAAGATAACTAATAACTTAATCTTGCGGGCAGCTCTCTTAGATTTGCTAAATGTAGCCCTAGCTCAACATCACTTGGATGATCCAATTATTAATTTGGCTACTCAGTTATTTGGCCAAATAGCTTCTAGTTGGAGGCAACAGGAGGAAGAAAAAGCTTTGCGTGCCCAGGAAGAAGAGAGTCTTTATTGTTATAAGACTCGTACTTTGGCTGTTTCTGAAACTGAGGAAGAGATACAAGATCGAGAATTCAACAAGGCTTTTCCTTCATTTGACCATGAGTTTGATGACTTAAATGACCTAGATTTGAATGATAATGTGGAAAATGAAAGTAATAAACCTGATATTACTGGAAATGTCTTGGTTGGACATGTGACTGATGATCAAATATTTGAAGTGAGTGAATTGCATTGTGTCATTTTTACATCTTTGGTCAGAACACATTGGTGTACAGTTCCAGTGAGCAGTGTTGCATATCCACCATCACAAGTAGTGCCAGCAGCAGTATTAAGGTTACGTGTTCTACATTCCCTTCTTGGAACAGCTGGATGTATTGCAGGTTGTAAATTAGACCATGCTACAATAGGTGCTCAGATTCTTAGCAATTATAATTCCTGTGCTCTTCTGACTGATGCATCTCCTCCCGAGCTCTTCGCTCATCCTTATGACATCTATAGATACCCTAACCCCAAAGAAGTCTTGAAAGTACGCCCATTACTTCAGTCAATACGTGAACGAGTAGATGAGTTGCTGATCCTCTGGCCTGATCATCCATCATTACTAATGGTCAACACAATTTTAACACGAGTATTGGCTTTCCCTCTGACTTCACCACTCATGAGGCATGTGGTAGGTCTTGAAACAGTGTTGGAGAAGGCTCAAGATTGGGAGAAAAATGCTCACAAAGGAGTTTCAATGATGGAACAGCTTGAGGCTGTTACACATCAGATATTAGAGTGGCGACAGCTTGAACTAAATGCTTGGAGTTCATGTTTGGATTCTGTAACGCACAGAGTTGCTACCGAAGGTCGGAAATTATGGCCTCGTCTTCATGATACATTCCAGGCAGCTCTTACAGGATCAGTCTCTCCTGCTGAAATATCTACAACTCTAAAACAGTTCTTGGAAACTTCCATCTTGGGTAACTTTGAAACCCGTCTGAAGCTGCTTTATGCGTTTCACTGTAACATTGCTGTGTTAGAGAAAAGTCAAACTGTAGAGCAGTTGCTGACCCTCACATGGAACCTTCATCAGTATTATACACAATTTTTACCATTAGTTGCTTCTACACTTGCAAAAGCTAAGCAACCAATAGATAAGGATATAAAAGGTTACGTGAAGATTGCTCGTTGGAATGACATTAACTATTTTGCTGTGCGTGAATCTGTAACAAAGAGCCATCGTACTCTTCATCGTTACATGCGAAATTGGGAGAAAAAGTTAAGACAGCCCATTGCATCTTTACTTTGTGATGATGCCTCTGAATTAATTCAAGATCACACAGGAGCATGGGACAAAGAGCTTCATGACATGCCAGTATCCACATCCTTATCCACAATCCCTGCAGTTCATGGTATGGTAAACCATGCAAGCAGAGCAACAGATGATTCAATTTTGTGTCGATTGCCATCACTCACTCATCGCAGTCACAAGCTTACTTGCAAGATTCTACAAAAAATTAAATATTCTTCTTATGTAGATGCAGTTGAAGAGGTTACAGTTAGTATTGTCACAGATTATCAGGAACTGCAAGCTGCAGCATCACGTTCTGAAAATATATCTGCATCTGATATGCGTATGAAGCAACTACGTAGCATCATGCAAAGAAGACGTGATTGCCTGACTCGTGTGTTAAAGTCATTGGCCTCTATGGGGATTATGTACACACGTGGCAACAGTTCATGGCATGATGATGACATCGACTCTTGTATGACATTACCACCTGTTGACATTAACATTGCCCATCCAGGCATAATTTTGCTTAAGTCAGCACGCGAAGCATGGCCTGGTTGTGTAAAATATTTAAATCGTTGTATTAGCTGCCACACCCTTCTCCTTAAAGCCCTCCAACAACCTCATGGAAATCTCGGCCCTGAGCTTGTCAAGCGATTACGTGGTGTGTCTTGCCATCTATTCTTGTTAGCTCGAAACCAGCGAAGATCTTTGACCCATCTCAGTGATTACACTCGGCGGCTACGTCTTCACCTAAGAGATTTGAAAACGGTGAAGCCTCATCCAGTACCTGTTGCTAAAATGATTGGTGGCTGTGAACATCTTCATGCATTGGCAACATCACTTTCACTTACCATAGCTGAAATATCTATCCTTTTAAAGACAACATCCAGCACTGCTCCAGTGATGCTGCTTCAAGATGATCTAGCAATGTTTCAACAAACACAACTTGAGGATGCAGAGAGAAATGTGAATGAAATTAAAGATGCACTGAGTTCTCTTACACAGCAGCTAGCTAGCTACTTAAAATATTTCAAAGATGGGCAGCATTTGGTAACTCCAGAATACTGTAAACTATTTTTGGAAGCAGTAAATCTGGTTTCTTCAGAAGCTAAGAAATTGAAAGATGTGATGAAATTGTTGTCAGTTGGTGATGGCAAAATGCTTCCTCTCACAACGCAACTAACACACTGGCTGACAAACTGGTACTCTGCACAGCAGACCCTCTCCACTTTAGTGGACACTATGCCAGATACAGCCAAACACATTGTAGACTTAAATTCTCTTGAATGCTGCTTGACAAAGGCATTATTGGGCGTTGAATTCATGTACAAAAGACACTGCTCTGATGATAATATTAAGGAGGGAAGTAATGATGAAGAGTTTGTGAAGAACTTCCTGACTCATAACTTAGTTGAAAGCCTTGAGATAGATCAGAAAAATTTGCGAGTTGAAGAAGTAGTAAACAGAATACAAACATTAATTTATGAAGCAGAGAATCAACCAGATTTGTTGAATGAACTGAAAGCTTCAGTCTCTCTTTTTGAACAGTATCAGGCCATCTGTGAAACTGTTTTGTTACAAATGGTCTGCAGTAACAGAACCATCACAAAGTTTACAACCATTATATTAGCCATTTTCCAGCAACTTGCAGTGAAAGGATTTTGTCGACCCCAGGAGTTGGATGATGAGGCAGGTGGTGAGGGTGCTACAAACTTTCAAGATTCAGAAGGTACTGGCCTTGGTGAAGGTGAAGGCAAGAAAGATGTTTCAGAACGCATTGAATCTGAGGATCAACTTGCGTCAGCTTTGAAAGAGGGTGAGAGTGAAAAGCCAGGTGATTCAGACTTAAAAGAAGAAGACCAAGGCATTGAGATGAATGAAGATTTTGAAGGAAAAATGCAAGATGTAGAGAGAAGGGAAAGGAATGAAGATGACAGTGATGAGGAAGATAATGATAAAGATGATATGGATAAACAAATGGGGGAAACTGAAAAAGGAGCAGAGAAACTTGATGAAAAATTGTGGGGTGATGAAAATGAGAGTGAAGATGAAGGAGACAAGAATGAAGAAGAAGATGGACCGGGTGATGGTGAGGTAACAGAATCAAAAATGGTGGCTAATGATGATAATAAAGTAAAAAAGAGAGAGATAAGGATCAGAAAAAGAAGAATGAATTGGAAGAGATGGATGACACGAGAGAGGAAAATGCAATGGATGAAGATGGTAATGAATATGACGATAATTTCAATTATCCTTATGGTGGTGAAGCTGACAAAGAAAGTGAAGATGAAAATGATAAAATGGAATTACCTGATGATATGCAGTTAGATGATGGTGAGGCTCATGATGAGGATAACGATGTAGAACGTGATCCTATGGAGATTGAAGAAAAGGGTGTCTTTCCTGAAGAAGAACGTGAACCAAAAGAAAAAGATGAAGAAAAAGGTGAAACTGAGGAACAGAATAAAAAAGATGAAACAAATGTAGATCAAGAAATAACTGAGGATCAGGAAGGGGATATAGATGAAAAAGAGAAAGAAGAACTTTCGGAAGAAACTCAGAAAGATGAACGAAAAGAGGGAACAGAAGAAGCAAATGTAGAAAATGTTGAAACGGATAGAAATAATGATAAGTCTGCCTCTAAAGACAAAGACAGCAAGACTGTTGCAGAAGCAGCGGAGATGGATACAACAGAGGGCAGCAAGGACGAAACAAAGGTCAGTATTTTAGTACAGTTAAACTGGAACGGCTGAGATTTCTTGCATTTTGGCTTTCTTTTAAATGGTATTGAGCATTTTCTCCTTTGACTTTAGTAGTATTGAGGAGTAATGAATTTTGACCCAGTGACTACATATGGATCCATTTATATATATTGTACAGTACTATATATGTACATTATATATAAACATTTTCCAATTTAAAAATAGGAGCAGCCAAAAACAGATGCAGGTGGTCAGCGGGAAGAGGAAAAGCAAGAGGAACAAGGTAATATAGGTGAACAAACGGATGATCAGGAAGGTGTGGGACAGTCTGAAAGTCGTACTCGTGATGATGCACACAAAGGTGAATCCTCTGCCCTTGTTACCCAGGCATCGGCTAGTGATCAGAATGATATGAAAAAGCCTCGTAAACCTGGAGAAACTGATGAAGACAGAACACTTGGTAAGCAAAAGTAGTTGGAAAACATGAATTATATTTTGTTGTTGACATTTTGTAAGACCATGCATAAATGTAATATTTTAATTTAAGAGTCCCCAATTATTTTATTTTTATTTTTATAATATATATATTGTAAATGTGTTTGAAGTCTGTTTTCATAATAATCATTTGACTTCAGGAAATAATGAAGAAAATGTCCAACATGGACTAATGGCGAAGAAGATGAGAAAGAGAGAAACAGAGGATGACCATCAGCACCAGGATCAGGAGGTAAGTTTAGAATAAGAGGTTACTTGACTGTGTTTATTGAGAGATGTATGCTAAACCTTTTTACTGATAACACACTGCCTATGATTCTACTGTCCCAGCCTTGCTCTTGGTGTGTGTGTACTCACCTAATTGTGCTTGCGGGGGTTGAGCTTTGGCTCTTTGGTCCCGCCTCTCAACCGTCAATCAACTGGTGTACAGATTCCTGAGTCTACTGGGCTCTATCATATCTACATTTGAAATTGTGTATGGAGTCAGCCTCCACCACATCACTTCCTAGTGCATTCCATTTACTAACTACTCTGACACTGAAAAAGTTCTTTCTAATGTCTCTGTGGCTCATTTGGGTACTCAGCTTCCACCTGTGTCCCCTTGTTCGTGTCCCTCCAGTGTTGAATAGTTCATCCTTGTTTACCCGGTCGTTTCCCCTGAGGATTTTGTAGGTTGTGATCATGTCCCCCCTTACTCTTCTGTCTTCCAGTGTCGTAAGGTGCATTTCCCGCAGCCTTTCCTCATAACTCATGCCTCTTAGTTCTGGGACTAGTCTAGTAGCATACCTTTGGACTTTTTCCAGCTTCGTCTTGTGCTTGACAAGGTACGGGCTCCATGCTGGGGCCGCATACTCCAGGATTGGTCTTACATATGTGGTGTACAAGATTCTGAATGATTCCTTACACAGGTTCCTGAACGCCGTTCTGATGTTAGCCAGCCTCGCATATGTCGCAGACGTTATTCTCTTTATGTGGGCTTCAGGAGACAGGTTTGGTGTGATATCAACTCCTAGATCTTTCTCTGTCTGTTTCATTAAGTACTTCATCTCCTATTCTGTATCCTGTGTCTGGCCTCCTGTTTCCACTGCCTAGTTTCATTACTTTGCGTTTACTCGGGTTGAACTTCAACAGCCATTTGTTGGACCATTCATTCAGTCTATCTAGGTCATCTTGTAGCCTCCTACTATCATCCTCTGTTTCAATCCTCATAATTTTTGCATCGTCGGCAAACATTGAGAGGAACGAATCTATACCCTCTGGGAGATCATTTACATATACCAGAAACAGTATAGGTCCAAGGACTGACCCCTGCGGAACTACACTTGTAACGTCTCGCCAATCTGAGACCTCACCCCTCACACACTCGTTGTCTCCTGTTGCTTAGGTACTCCTCTATCCACCGGAGTACCTTCCCTTTCACTCCAGCCTGCATCTCCAACTTTCGCACCAGCCTCTTGTGTGGCACTGTATCAAAGGCTTTCTGACAATCCAAAAATATGCAGTCTGCCCACCCTTCTTTCTTGCCTTATTTTTGTTGCTTGGTCGTAGAATTCAAGTAACCCTGTGAGGCAGGACCTGCCATCCCTGAACCCATGTTGATGCTGTGTTACAAAGTTCCTTCGCTCCAGATGCTCCACTAGTTTTTTTCACACAATCTTCTCCATCAGCTTGCATGGTATGCAGGTTAGGGACACTGGCCTGTAGTTCAGTGCCTCCTGTCTATCCCCTTTCTTGTATATCGGGACTACGTTAGCTGCTTTCCAAATATCTGGCAGTTCCCCTGTTGCCAGTGATTTGTTATACACTATGGAGAGTGGTAGGCACAGTTCTCTTGTTCCTTCCTTTAGAACCCAATTGGAGATTCCATCTGGGCCTATAGCCTTTGTCACATCCAACTCTAGTAAACACTTCCTTACTTCCCCGCTGGTAATCTCAAAGTCTTCCAGTGGTTCCTGGTTAGCTATTCCTTCTCTTACCTCTGGAATTTCTCCTTGCTCTAAGGTGAAGACCTCCTGGAATTTCGTCCCGTTTTGGTAGGGACGCGAGTCTTATTTTCCTCGGCGTCACCCCTTTTATATGAAAGGAACCGTCGGAAATGCATCCGAGGTGCCGTGTGGTTTGTCGCCTCCTCGTTGGTGGAGAGAGGCGACGCCACAGTGTTTTTGTTCAGCCTTCCCATGACATGGAAGAAGGTTGGTGCTCTGTTCCCATGCACACAGACCGATCGATAGCTGACTCGATGTGCAGTCGTAGGCTGGAGAAGTGATCGCACGGAGATCAATTCCTCACACACTTCCTTGTCATTTGTAGTGAATCCTTCTGCCCCTATCCTTAATTTCATAACCTGTTCCTTTACTGTTGTTTTTCTCCTGATGTGGCTATGCAACAATTTAAGCCGAGTCTTTGCCTTGCTTGCGATGTCATTTTCGTATTGTCTTTCTGCCTCTCTTCTCATCCTGACATATTCATTCCTGGCATTCTGGTATCTTTCTCTGCTCTCCAGTGTCCTGTTATTTCTATAGTTTCTCCATGCCCTTTTACTTTGCTGCTTAGTTAGCCTACATCTCTGATTAAACCATGGGTTTCTCATTTTCATTTCTCTGTTTTCCTTTTGGACTGGGACAAACTTGTTTGCTGCGTCCTTGCACTTTTGCGTGATGTAATCCATCATATCTTGGGCCATCTTTTCCCTGAGCTCTGTTTCCCATGCTATATCTGCTAGGAATTTTCTTATCCCCTCATAGTTTCCCTTTCGGTATGCTAACCTTTTGTGTGTGTGTGTGTGTGTGTGTGTGTGTGAGGTTATTATGCTGTTGCAAAGTGCATTTGGGTCATGTAAGTGTCTGTCCTGTCCAAGGCTGTATATGCATTTTCCCACTGAGGGTTTATGATGTGGTTTGGGATTTGTTCAGCTTAAACTGTTCCCTTGTTCATTGAGTCTTGTTAACATTCTCTTGTGGGATTTTACCAAACTCATTCATTTCTCTGCTTGACTCTGCAGTTTTACCATCTTCACATATGTAAATACAGGGCCACCCTCTTCCAACATGATGGGTTCCTCGTGGCCTTTTACCTTTATGGGAAGCTGTGATGGGTCCATGCTGTTTGGAGGCCAAAGGTGGGATGGCTGTGGTCCTGCTTTTTCCATTGCTCTGGTATTTTATGTGCACTATATACAGTATATGTCACCCAAAAACTTTACACTTTACACAAATTACTCTGTTTTGCTTGACTTGGTAGACTGACTCATTTGCATGTCTTTGCCTCATCCAGTTATAAGGCACAAGGAGGTCCTTGTTCTTGCTCATATCAGAGTTCAACTTTCTGGAGGAACAGAACATTGGCTATCTGAAGCTGGCTCACTGAGGTACTTCTACGCACAAGTTACATTAGCCCCTAGGAGTCTTTGGTAACCTATTGAAAACCGGAGCCAGAACCTGGCCCACCTCATAGAGGAATAGGGAGCAGGAGATTGTTAGTCATCCTCACTGAGGAATCATCCAGAAAGTAAGGGTACCAAAACAGACAACTGCAAGGTTCACAGAGGGAAAAGAAAGGAAGCAGAAAATGATCCATCCAGCAGTTAGGTCGAATCCTCCTATTTACAGCTGGATTCTGCCAGGTGGCAACACCACTGAGACCTGTTGGCTCCTCATGTCAACAAACCTCAGTCCTGTCACTGATGTCTACCTGTGCAGACTGCTCCTCATTTGTTTTCTAGATAAGTGTACCTGCTTGATATGTGCTTGATGGGGTTTTGAGAGTTGTTCTATTCCCCAAGCCCGGCCCGTGGCCAGGCTTGACTTGTGAGAGTTTGGTCCACCAGACTGTTGCTTGGAGCGGCCCGCAGGCCCACATATCCACCACAGCCTGGTTGGTTCAGCACTCCTTGGAGAAAATGATCTATTTTTCTCTTGAAGATGGCCACGGTTGTTCCAACAATATTTCTTATGCTCGCTGGGAGGATATTGAACATTCGTGGACCTCTGATATTTATACAGTGTTCTCTGATTGTGCCTATGGCACCCCTGCTCTTCACTGGTTCTATTCTGCATTTTCTTCCATATCATTCACTCCGGTATGTTGTTATTTTACTGTGTATATTTACAGTATATTTTTATTGTACTTCCTCCTAGCCAAGTGACTTATCTGGCAGCAGCTGCTGTATGGATTCGTTTTCTCGTGTTCCCTGTTTGTGGCTTGGTGATCAAGTTCCCAGAGTTTTATCCCTGTAGTATTTAGGAATTTGATGTTGGAAGAGTTGGTGAAATCTGCCTGCTCTAAATTTGCTAATCCTTTACCTTCGCTTGTTCCATCTGACAGGGTTTGCCAGGCCTCTTGTGAACCTTGCTCCAGATTCCAAAATATCACAGGATTTTGGGTTTAACTGTGCGCTTCCTGGGGCTGGGGAAGCGGGGAACCCATGGATGGATCCCTGGGTGCACTTCAGCCTTGTTGGAGTTTAGTGCCTCTGTAAATGTAGTATACTGGGGTTAGTATTAGTATAAACATACTAATATATGTTGACTTTCAGCTGGTTATGAAGCTTGGGTAGAGAGATCTTATGTAGTAGAGGCAGTGCCAGTAGTGGTTTTGTCTTGTTTTGAAACATGGTTGGTGAGAACTGGATCTTCTGATTTAGTGGTTTCACCATGCTGGACAGATGATGTATTGGTGTCGTTAGGTTTTTGTGAAGCTTGTCGTGTGGAAGCCGTTTCTGTACCAGTTGTAGTGAGTTCTGTAGTAGGTGTGGCTGTGGCAAAGGTGCTGCAGGAGCAGGTGGTACTGCAGTTGTAGGAGCAGGAGGAGCTGGGGATGCAATAGTAGGTGAAGCTGTAGTTGGAGCTACCATGGCATGACCATATTTATATGAATGTACTGTATAACACTTGCCTCATAGACAGTGCAGGTATTGTAGGTATATCTTGCAGTTTTCATAGAATGTTGGCTTTGAAATGGCCTGTAAATTTTCAGGACTTATATTTTCCTATGCTAATACAATATAGTAATCATAAAATATTTATTTACAGAATGGTGAAAATGATCCAGAACAGAAGAATTCTGAGTATGAACATATTACCAAGGCAGAGGACCACTTTGATGCTCAGATTGTTGATGCTGGTACTCAGGAGCAGGCCAAAGAAGTACCAGCACCAGCTGATAAACAAGACAAGGAAGATAAAATGCAAGAAGATGAAGAAATCCTAGAAACTCCAATGGAGGTGAGCAACAGAATTGTAAAATTTTCTTGCAGTCTGTTTTCAAATGGACTAATAATTTGTTTTGAATTTGGGAATCTAGTACATTTTGAAGAAAATATTTATGTATCTGGACATAATTTTTAACCTTTGCAAAATATTTATAAAATTGACTGGATGCAGGTTGATGAAGAAGACGGTGGAGAGTGTCAAGAGGAAAATCAGCCAATAGTTCAGAATGGAGAGAAAAATGAAAACCATGAAAGAAGTGAGGGCAAATGTGATCCTCAGGGTGAAGGTGAAACACAAATGATGACAGAGGGAGAGATTATTCTTGAAGACATGATTCAGAGACCACCAGAAACATACTTCTACACACTTATTCCAGATGAAAGTAAGTAGAACCTGATAAGCTTGTAATAATTCCTTTCTGGGGGAGCCTCTTGGTCGCTCTCGGCAACTTAAAAACAAAACATCTCGGCAACCCTCTTGGTTTCCAAAATGTTTTTTGCGGCTCTGCCTCTTTCAGCAGCTCGGGCCAGTCAAGTACCTGGGTGGTTTGGTCTTCTCTTCCGTTCTTTTCATCTGGTCTTTTTGACGTGGATCTATCACCAAATGTATGGTGATCAGGTGGCTTCATTGATGGTGACCTACCTGCGAGCTTGTCTAGGCGGCAGTATGAAGTTTCCTGGCATTCTTTTCGCCATTTTCTTTCACTTCATAGGTTGTCTTCTATTTCTGATCAGGTTGTTTTGTCCTCTCTCTCTTGGCAGTTTCAGGACTGTCACTTGATGCCTAATACTGCCGCCTCGTATTGTGCGGTGCTAGTGGAGCTGCTTCAGTTTGCGTCTAGGGTGGATGTTACTTCAGTGCTGCTCTGTAAGCCTTCTCATGCTTTGTTTCACCTCTGGCCTGCTCATATGCTGCCTGAGCCATCGTGGTCCTTGGATAGGGTACTCTGTTTTTTCTCTTCTCCTCATTTGTAATGGCCCCTTTCGGTTCAAGTTTGTTTCTCCAAGGCTCTTTTTCTGTTGGCATTGGCCTCTGGGGGGTCGGGTGGGGAAGCTTTTTGTTCTCCTCCGGCACAGGAGTTTCTGCTCCTTCGGTCCTGGTAGTCAGTTTGTTTCATTGCAGCTGTCTCCTTCTTTTCTAGAGAAGTACGAAACGGCTGCTTTCTGGAGGGGTCCTAGGGTCATTGATGCTTGGTTGGTCAAACCGGGGGCGCATCATGTGTTGTCTGGTTGCGACTCTTTACCGTTACCTGCGCGCCACAGTTTCTGTGGCCAGGGGTGTGCTTTGGGTTGATTTGGTTTCCCTTTGCTCCCTGCTTGGGTCTCATGTCGTCCACAGGGTCATTAAGTCTAGCCAGCATGCGGTCCTTTCTCGTGTCCACGACGTTCGTAAGTTTGCTGCTTTGACTGCCGTCTTCGGCAATATGTCTTTGGTTGAGATTCAAGCGCAGGGATTTTGGTTGCTGAACGGAGTCTTGGCCGCCCATTATCTCGTAAACGTTCGTGGTCCTTGTCGTCTGTGTGTGGTTTTGGGTCGCAGGTTGCAGTCAGTTGTCTCGACTTTGAGTTGAGGAGCAAGTCACGACTGCCTCTTGGGTAAGTCCCTCTTTTCCTTATCTTTGGTCAGGTAGATCCAGAGAGCCAGAGGCTCCCTGGCACCCTCCCTCCCTCTGGTTGGCTTGCTTTTTTTTTTTTTTTTTTTTCTTTCTTTCTTTCTTTCTCAGAGGTTTTGATGCTTAGCCTCCGAACTGGAGTTGTTGGGTAGCCAGCACAATTGGTCCTGTGAGAAGGGGGGGCTGCACAGACAAGAGTCACGGCGGCGGAGTGGTGTGACATTTGCTTGTTTCTTTAAGTGGGGGGGAGTTCGGTCTTGGGTTGCTATTTGTCTTACCTTGTGGGAGTCTGTTTTGTTATGCCTACTTTTCTGGGTGCCAACTGGTCGATGGCAGACATGGAATGCTCCCGAATACATGGGGATTTCCATAGTCCATTGCTCTCTGTGCCTCTCTGAGGGGGGGGGGGCCAGGTTCTGGCTCGTGGTCGCCGGTAGGCTGAACACCAATTAACTGATGCCCCATACTAATATAACACATATCAGCCTAATAGCTCCAGGGAGCCTCCAAAGCTCACCCAGAAAATGGCATTTCATTACAATCAATGCTTTTTTTTCTCTTTTTTCTTTTTTTCTTCTTCTTCACTCGATTGCATATCCAGTTTCTAATGATGTTACCTTGTCCTACCTCATTTTATTTAAAATAAACTTCCTTTTATCTGCTTTCCTTTAATCTGTTTCCCTCAAAATCTTGTACAGTACATAGATATCATATTCAGTTTGTCCTTTCTTCTATGGTTGTGAGGACGAATTCTCTCAACCTGTTCTCATAAATGAAGCCTCTCAGTTCTGGTATATATCTGGTATCAATCTCGTTTCAAACCTCTCAACTTTCTGAAGTCTGTTTATGCTTCACAAGGTGTGGGTTCCCTGCTGGAGCTGCATACTCAAGTTATATTTTCACATTCACAGTGTGTGTGCTTTTGAAAGCCTCTTTTTCTGGGAGGAGCCCCGTCAGCTCCCCGGATTTATCCAAACTAATATGCTAATGTCAGACTTTGGCATCAGTCATGTGTATGGAGTTCTGTGGGCCTACCAGGAACCACGAGCCAGAACCTGGCCCCCTCACAAAGGCACAAGGAGCAATGACTTGTAGAAATCCCCGTGTGGTTGGAAGCATTCTATGTCTGCCATTGACCGGGTTAGGCACCCAGAAAGGTCACTTTCTATGACCACACAGAAAGGTCTATGCATCCCAAAACAAACCCCCGATTCTGGTGAAAATTGCTACAAAAAGCCGAACAAGTGGATAAAACTCCCCAAACAGAAACTAGCAAACGAGTGTGATGTCACACGTCACCGCGCCGCCATCTGCGCAGCTCCCCCCTTCCCGGGAGGGGAAAGGAAGAGCCCCAGACCTCTGTGCCGGGCATCCACCTCTCAGTTCTGAGGCTGATGCTATAGGCTGAGGTCGTGTGCTCTGGCTCCAGTGATTGTTTCAGCACTGTGCCTTTTGTGCGGTGTCTGTGTTCTAGGTGGTGTGCGATCCAGGAGTGATTCTTCAGTACCGCATGTGCCTAGGGCTCCCTTCCCTAGGTGCTCTGTAAGTACTGCCCTTGGGGCTTGAGACCACCTTCCACAATATCCTTGGGTTCTGCCTCTGCTAGGCCGTTTACTGCTCAGTTTTTGGCTGCCCTATGTGTGCTGGGGTGTTTTGTTTCCCTTGTTTACCTGTGGGTAAAGGGCAGTTTGCACTGGTACGGGGTGCAGGGTACTGCGCAGCTTCTTTTTACCATTCAAAGCAGCCGGTTCTGTTCCGCCTGGGTACGCTGTCCTCTTGCAGGGTTTTCTTTTTGTTTTCCTGCCTGGTGGGGTCCTGCCTGGTTGCCCCCTGAGTACGGTTCCTGATTACTAATTTTCTTCGGTGGTACCCCCTGCTAGGTCCCCGTGAGTGTACACATCCCAGGGGTTCAGCTCTTAGCGAGTCGTTTGGTAGGTTTGGGCGCTGGTTAGCAGTACCCTGCCTGGGCTTCCTTGAGCATGTGTTCCGTCTCAGGACCCTGGGAATCCCCTAGGGGGCATGTGGGTCTGATGTATGTGGCCCCTGAGTCCCCCCCTTGCTTTGAGAGAGTTCGAAGGTTGCTCTGTCCTCTTGTCTCAGGGTGACTCTGATTGTTTTTGCCTGTCATGCTGCCTGTTAGGTCGGCGACACCTTCGACCCGGGGCCCTGCATGTGTTGCTTGTTTGCGACTCGGTTACCCAATCTAGTGATGATGATCTTTGGGTACAGGCAGCGCAAGGGTTGCATGTTAGGTTTAGGTAGGTTGCTACGCAGGATGCCCCAAGGTTGCCACCCACCACTTTAATCTACCATCTGCCACCCACCACCTTAGTCTACCATCAGCCACCCACCACCTTAGTCTACCATCAGCCACCCACCACCTTAGTCTACCATCAGCCACCCACCACCTTAGTCTACCATCTGCCACCTGCTCATTCTGCTGCCTGCACACCCACCCACTATGCCAACCATCTCACTACTGCCCGCCTGCACACACTGACACCTGCCCGACCACTGCTGTCCGCATATCCATCTACTTTGCTGCTCGCCCTGCTACTCATCCATCCACTCACTCTCACCTGCCCACCCACTCGCCCTCCACATGTTCTTCCTCTACATGATTCTAGGGCTGGTGTTTTTGAAAGATTTTCTTTTCCGTAAACAGCCTCCCCGTCCTACTCGCCTTCTATCCATCCGGTCCCCCCACCATCCAGTCCATCCATCCATCCAGTCCCCCTCCATCCATCCAGTCCCCCTTCCACCATCCGGTCCCCCTTCCACCATCCGGTCCCCCTTCCACCATCCAACCATCCAGTCCCCCTCCACTATCCATCCATCCAGTTTACCACACCATCCAGTTCACCACACCATCCATCCATCCATCCAGTTCACCACACCATCCATCCATCCAGTTCACCACTCCATCCATCCATCCATCCAGTTCACCACTCCATCCATCCATCCATCCAGTTCACCACTCCATCCATCCATCCATCCAGTTCACCACACCATCCATCCATCCAGTTCACCACACCATCCATCCATCCATCCAATCAAGCCTGGCCTCTGGCCGGGTTTGGGAAGTAGTAGAACTCCCAGAACCCCATCAAGCAGGTTTATCCATCCAGTTCCCCACACCATACATCCATCCATCCAGTTCCCCCTCACCATCCATCAATCCAGTCCCCTCACCATCCATCCATCCATCCATCCTGTTGTCCTCTCAAATACAATATTCAAGTGCGATCGTCACTAGGCAGGGTAAACTGAGCACGCTTCGTCCGCCCAACAGAAAAGAACCATGCGCTTGTCAACTCATACATGTCTCAAGAAACTCGAGTACCGAGTCAAATTTTTTTAAGAAATTGAGTTCAAGAACAGAAAAATTTGAAAATGGGGGCATTTGAAAACAGAGTTTCCACTGTATAAGTAATGGAGTTCTCCACCAACTGCTTCCTTCAGTAACATGATATATTTTCTCTATGGCATTTGTTTACCGGAGGCGTGAGGAAGTAGATTTGAGAGTCCTGTGAACCCATGGGAGTTTTAAAGCTCATACGAGGGTTTAGTACATTTGTGATTGTGTTGCGCAGTTTACAGATAAATGGTGAGGTCCCTGGTTGTGTCACATAGTTGAAGGATTAGAGGTTTTCTTGGAAGCCATCTCCATCCACAATTTTAAGAGCTAAACCACATTTACTGGAGATACTTCAACCACCATTACTGGCACCTCCACCTTTTCTTGCCACAGCCTGTGCTCATTACAACAGCCTAAACCCATCACATTTATTGTACTATACTGATTATATTACCTGTTCTTCACTTGAGTTTGCTGTAATTGTTGCACCACAATTTCTTAATGATCCACTGTTTTGTATCGAAAGATATGCTGGCCCGGGGATCTTTTTTGACCAGCTATGAATAATCATGTCTATTTATACTGTGCAATAATTCAATAGTTCATTACCTGTGTTCATCATATGCCTTCAGATTCCAAGTACAGTATGGTACTCATATTCTCCATGTATTCATTATATATTCATAATATATTTATTATATGCTGTATATTCATTTTTAACTCTACTGTACTACTACTCATTCACTACTCTTCATATACTACTCATTAAATTGTTTTCATCCAGTACTATTCAGTTAAAGCTTCCATAAGAAAGCACATTTTATGAATATAAATATAGTGAAGAATTGCTTTTATGTCTTGCGTACTGTGTTGAACTAATAAAACAGATAATACAAATGTAAATGTTTTGTTGACCAGACCACACACTAGAAGTTGAAGGCACGACGACGTTTCGTAAATGTTTTACTACATTCTGATAGTGCCATACTAATGACTATACTTTAATTTTATTTGATCTTGTAGATGAAGAAGAGGAAAAAGTTATTGCCAAGTTTGATGAAAATGTTGAAGAAACAAGGCAGCAAATAGAAGTTGTACGCAGTCAAAATGAGGTTGATGGCACATCATGGGCACAACAAGAAGCACGTGTGGCTCCTATAGCAATGCATTTGTGTGAACAGTTAAGGCTTATCCTAGAACCTACGCAAGCAGCCAGATTACGTGGTGATTATAGAACAGGGAAAAGACTGAATATGAGAAAAGTGATACCATATATAGCTTCACAGTTTCGAAAGGACAAGATCTGGCTTCGCCGAACACAACCTAGCAAGAGAACTTACCAGATTTTGGTGGCTGTTGATGATTCTGAATCCATGGCAGAAGCTCGTGCAGGCAGCCTTGCTATAGAATGTGTAGCCCTTGTGACTACCTGCATTGTACCTGCCACTCCATTCCCCTCCAGGGTGTGGCAGGTACACACTGCCAATAGTGTGTACCTGCCACTCTGTGGGCCAGGGTTCGAGTCTCCTGGTGGGTTGAGTGTTAAAAAGTTATAAACTTCAGCTTGCGAGTTATATAGGCAAGTCTGTGCACATATATATATATATATATATATATATATGCAAACAAGCCTGAATGGTCCCCAGGACTATATACAACTGAAAACTCACACCCCAGAAGTGACTCGAACCCATACTCCCACAACTGGTATGTACAGGGACGCCTTAATCCGCTTGACCATCACGACCGGACATAAGGAAGTGATAGCCGAGGCTATATGAACCACTTCCCCGCCGGCACTCGGATGGTAATCTTGGGCATAGCATTTTATCAAATCACCTCTTTCTTTGGGGCACACGTGAGGAACACAAATGCAAACAAGCCTGAATGGTCCCCAGGACTATATACAACTGAAAACTCACACCCCAGAAGTGACTCGAACCCATACTCCCACAACTGGTATGTACAGGGACGCCTTAATCCGCTTGACCATCACGACCGGACATAAGGAAGTGATAGCCGAGGCTATATGAACCACTTCCCCGCCGGCACTCGGATGGTAATCTTGGGCATAGCATTTTATCAAATCACCTCATTCTTTGGGGCACACGTGAGGAACACAAATGCAAACAAGCCTGAATGGTCCCCAGGACTATATACAACTGAAAACTCACACCCCAGAAGTGACTCGAACCCATACTCCCACAACTGGTATGTACAGGGACGCCTTAATCCGCTTGACCATCACGACCGGACATAAGGAAGTGATAGCCGAGGCTATATGAACCACTTCCCCGCCGGCACTCGGATGGTAATCTTGGGCATAGCATTTTATCAAATCACCTCATTCTTTGGGGCACACGTGAGGAACACAAATGCAAACAAGCCTGAATGGTCCCCAGGACTATATACAACTGAAAACTCACACCCCAGAAGTGACTCGAACCCATACTCCCACAACTGGTATGTACAGGGACGCCTTAATCCGCTTGACCATCACGACCGGACATAAGGAAGTGATAGCCGAGGCTATATGAACCACTTCCCCGCTGGCACTCGGATGGTAATCTTGGGCATAGCATTTTATCAAATCACCTCATTCTTTGGGGCACACGTGAGGAACACAAATGCAAACAAGCCTGAATGGTCCCCAGGACTATATACAACTGAAAACTCACACCCCAGAAGTGACTCGAACCCATACTCCCACAACTGGTATGTACAGGGACGCCTTAATCCGCTTGACCATCACGACCGGACATAAGGAAGTGATAGCCGAGGCTATATGAACCACTTCCCCGCCGGCACTCGGATGGTAATCTTGGTAATCCGGTCGTGATGGTCAAGCGGATTAAGGCGTCCCTGTACATACCAGTTGTGGGAGTATGGGTTCGAGTCACTTCTGGGGTGTGAGTTTTCAGTTGTATATAGTCCTGGGGACCATTCAGGCTTGTTTGCATTTGTGTGCGGGTATTGACGTGTTTCAGGAAGTCAAAGTATTAACCCGATCCTTGTTTGACCGACACACACGAAGGCTACATTGTTCCATTAACGTAACGTCGTTATCTGCCCGGAAGTACGGCACTTGATTGACTCGTGAGAGAAGTAGCGTCATTTTAGAATAACGTAAACGGGACTAATTACTGTTATTAGTCGCCTGAATTGGTCTGAGTATGGAAGGCTTAGACGGAATTCATACCTTAATGTAACTTGCTGAGCCAGTGTGAAAGGTTGCGTATTTTAACTTCCTTGGATCTTGGATGTAATTAATACTTTAAATACCATTCCTTTTGCACTTTGGAATAAATCAATTACCTGAGGTCTAGAACATTAACGAAATTAACAACAGAAAGATTAACCCTCTGAACGGATTAAGGGATTTCTATAGCTTGACGGTAGACGTTAATTCGGTAAGTGAAGTGAAGGTTATTACTTAACTACGTCCTTGTTATTAACTAATGTTATTTGCATTTGTGTTCCTCACGTGTGCCCCAAAGAATGACGTGTGCCCCAAAGAATGAGGTGATTTGATAAAATGCTATGCCCAAGATTACCATCCGAGTGCCGGCGGGGAAGTGGTTCATATAGCCTCGGCTATCACTTCCTTATGTCCGGTCGTGATGGTCAAGCGGATTAAGGCGTCCCTGTACATACCAGTTGTGGGAGTATGGGTTCGAGTCACTTCTGGGGTGTGAGTTTTCAGTTGTATATAGTCCTGGGGACCATTCAGGCTTGTTTGCATTTGTGTTCCTCACGTGTGCCCCAAAGAATGAGGTGATTTGATAAAATGCTATGCCCAAGATTACCATCCGAGTGCCGGCGGGGAAGTGGTTCATATAGCCTCGGCTATCACTTCCTTATGTCCGGTCGTGATGGTCAAGCGGATTAAGGCGTCCCTGTACATACCAGTTGTGGGAGTATGGGTTCGAGTCACTTCTGGGGTGTGAGTTTTCAGTTATATATATATATATATATATATATATATATATATATATATATATATATATATATATATATAATCGTAGTGTCACGGTGCCCAGTGTTATTGTGTAATTTACTGTGAGGTGATTGATATATATTGACCTATGTTCTAGGGGTTATTGAGAGCATTGGGGTCATTTGCAACAGTAAGTAAGTAAGTGTGTGCAGTATCCTAATATTTGGAAATTAGAGTACTTGCCGTGTGTGTTATTGCAAAGGGGGTTGTTATTTGATGGTGATTGTTGCTAGTGTTGAGCATCACCGTATGTGATTGCAGTCCAGTAAAGCCATTGTGGGGCAGTGTTCTAGAGGGTTCATGTCCTGTATGTTATTTTGCTAGATTCTGCAGTATTGTCATAGCAACCGGATTGTAACGTAAATCACTCTGATTTGTTTGTGTGATTGTCATTGTCGTGGGGGAACTCGGCTGTAGACGAGTACTTGGGTACACATATATTCTCCTGGTTATCTGGTAGGACATCGAAGTCCAGTATTCAGTGAGGTGATTGCGAGGCAATTAATATAACGTAACCAAGGGAACGCCCATTGCTTTAAGAGAATTTGTTCTTTGACAATTTGAGTAACGTAGAATACGTTTGGGTTAATTTACATTCCTGTAAGCAGCTACGGTAGTCTCGAGGAGCCTAGCCATCAGCCAGATAAGAATTAGAGTATTGTCTGTCGTAATTAACGGTCAGTGGGCCGGGTAATTGACGTGTTTCAGGAAGTCAAAGTAATTAACCTCGATCCTTGTTTGACCGACACACACGAAGGCTACATTGTTCCATTAACGTAACGTCGTTATCTGCCCGGAAGTACCGGCACTTGATTGACTCGTGAGAGAAGTAGCGTCATTTTAGAATAACGTAAACGTGGGACTAATTACTGTTATTAGTCGCCTGAATTGGTCTGAGTATGGAAGGCTTAGACGGAATTCATACCTTAATGTAAATTGCTGAGCCAGTGTGAAAGGTTGCGTATTTTAATTGTTTAATTATTGATCTTGAGGATAGTAATTAATTACTCTAAAGGTAATCACGAGTGATTACCGTTCTCTTAGCACTTTGGACATTGTAAATCAGAGTTTACCATCGCAGAGTGATTAGTAACCGATTAACGTAAATTAACGTAACTAGTAAAGAGATTAATCAGCTGTCTGGTAGTACAGGGATTAATGGGATTTTCTCACTGAATGCTCGACGGGTAGAGTGTTGTGTAATTTCCGCGTTACTAGTGACAGTTGTAAGAGTTATTAATTTAACGTAAATGTTACCTTGTTATTAACGTAAATGTTATTGTGTTATTAACGTAAATCAATTGTTATTGATTGTTGATCGTCCGTGGGACGGAGTGTTAACGTAAGGATTAATTTGAGGAAGGGTGCTGGAGTTGCCAGTGAACCCATTAGTTATTGTTGTCATTGGAAGACTACTGATTTGATTGCATTGCAACCGCTGTTGCAGGTGTAGACTGCACTGAGGCGTAGAACAGTTAGGAGGTTACTGGAGACGTGTTTCAGAACCTACTGTGTCATTTGTTGTAATTGTGATTATAGATCTGTTAGTTCTTGTTTCTTGTTGATTCCTCTGTGGTCACGCTTATGTTCGAGTTAGTTCATTATGCAGTCCGAGGGGCTGGTGTCTAGCTGTCATTGATAGTGTCACAGGAAGGATTTCGAGTAACGTCATTGAAATTTCTTTTTAATTTGTTGTAGTAGTTAGTACTTTATTGAATAAACTAAGTTGTTATGGTTAACACTGTCTTTTCGTTACACCCCACACATTATTATTGTTATGCAAATGTTCTTCACACTCGACTAATAAAGTTGAGACTAATTTTCTGAGCTTTGGATCAAATATACGGCACCAGACAACAATAAATTATTGTTGTGAGAGCCCGTGACCTACTCGTTAGATTCGCTTCGGCGATTGGCGAAGGTCGGCGGCCTAAGAGAGGGGATTTCAATTTTCATTGGGGTCTCGGCGTTTGCTCGCGCCTAGTCAATTGTTCATACATGGTCCCAAAGTGAGGAATGAGCTGTTTACTACACTGGTGTGTTAGCTAAGCAAGTCCTTCCTCAGGCGACCTAGTTGAATATCACGACAGGAATAAAGGTTAAAGAATAAAGAAAGTTCTTAGAAATTTTCTGAGCTAAAATTCCTTATACCAATTTCAATTTATTCCAAAACTTCTCACAAGTGACACAAACTCTCACACAGACTTCTAATCATGGGAGACTTCAACCATGGGAAGATAGATTGGGGGAACAGAGACCCACATGGAGAGCTAAGCTGCTGGATGTGGCAACAAGAAACGTTCTAAGTCAACACGTCAAGGGACCGACAAGAATGAGAGGAGGGGATGAACCAGCCTTGCTTGATCTGATATTTACCCTAAATGAGTCGGATATAAGGGAAGTTAAGTTGGAAGCCCCCTTGGGAATGAGTGATCATAGCGTATTGAGCTTTGAGTACCTGGTTGAGCTGGGAATTATCACCCCCAAAAAAGAACTGGGAACCAAAGGGCTGGTGTACCGAAAGAGAAACTATGAGGAAATGAATAAATTCCTATGGGATATACATTGGGACACAGAACTCGGAACC